TTCACACTTGGRCAATTTTGAAATACATCTGCATATGGGTGATTTTGCCTGGTCAAAGCCGGAAACAGAAATATAGCCCAGGCTATCTACTGATAAACAATGCAGATCATAGTGTTTGGAGTCTCATGCTGTACGGCAGGACAAGGTCTGTCTAGAGTGATTCATCAAACCCAATTTAACTTTATCACCCTAGCTTTATCCTGGGAATTGATTCATCTTCTTTAAGTGACATACAGCCAAAATCAGAGTAATTTTATATGTTTTCTATAAGCCCATCAATTTACTCAAGCAGTTTTAAGTCGTATTCACTTCCAGCTCTTAATGCTGCAGTTCCTTTATTCACTAACTACAGGYGTAGCTGGAAGTAAGACTTTTACAAGAAACTCCATTATGTCACCTCTGGATTTAAGGCACTCACTGTGCTCACTCTTGACATCTGTCACACATACATGGCATGCAACTGGGATACAGAAAAAAGACTAAGCAGAGATTTGAATGTTAAACTTCAATATGCTCAGTGACTGCCATAGCTCTTGGGCTGTMATACCAGGTTTCAGTTGGCCAATACATAATTATCTTTATATGTCAGAATAGCTTCAGCTGAGGAACTGGTCACAGACTTACAATGATGGTTAGCTCCCTATCTATCATATCACAACTAYAAATGAGAAACACACCAGCAGTTTCAATTTTTCAGATGTACAGTGGGAATGTCCAAAATCTCAGATTTTCTTCTCAGCTCCATCGCTCATCCATGGAGGAAGACAATAATCCAGTTCCCAAACTGTACTTACAGCCCAGCACTACCAAACAGCCCCTGTGGGAAATTTAATCTCTTGTTTGTGAAGATCAGAGGCTGCAACAGTCTGTTCTACCTRGTGAGACCAAGAATGTTGAGTCTCCCCTAATTTACCAAATGCTACTCAGTCTTTATCTGAAATGCTCTCATTCTTCTGTTCTGGTTATCTCCTCAGCAAACAGAATGAAGAATTGTCCTGAATTATGTGCCAGTTCTTCAGCATGGGAAAAGAACTAGAATTAAATCAACAAGACCAGATAATATTGATTCTGAGGGAAGACAGGCAAGTAAAGTCACAAGAATTACCAAAACCCAGGGAGGCASTTCTGAATGTTGTTTTTATGCCAGTATAGAACTTTAAAATATTTTGTTTGTGATACACACACAGACAAATTAAAGTTAGCTTTAGAATGAACAATCAGCCTCAGTCACCCCCCAGGCAAAGTGCAACTTTTAGATTCATAACAACCCTGAAATACATTTAAAAGATCTCATCACATACAATTCCTTCAAATTTAGAAGCATTTTTTGTGGTTTTCTACGTAAAGGATATCAAGAACTAAAGAGATTTCTTGATTGTCCTGTGCTGTTACAAGAACAAGTTCTAAAGAACTGAATGTTTAAATGAAACTTCCAGTGAGAAATGACGGGAAAAAACTTAGTGCAAATAATTAGGCCCTAATGACAAAATTCTTGGATGGAAAGATTTGGTACAAACTGCCTAAAACAGACACTCTGCTAACCTCTTCTCTGAACCACCACCCACTGAATTTCACCTACACAAACACTTCCTATACATACTGGATCTTGAAGGGGCAGCCTAAGCTATGCTGAAACAAGTTAGCAGGAGTCAGGAATCATTTCTGCCACTAGCAAGATGGGCAGACTCCTGCTTAGCAACTTGCAGCTTTACAAAGACAGCTCCCAAGTCCACAAATTATAAGCTAACACTGAAATGTAAACCGAGATGTATTTTTGGTACTATTTTCCTGACAAAACCTTATGTTATGTGCTGTTAAATGTTGCAAATGATATACTATATAAATTAGTTGAAACACCTCATGTCAAGTCCTCTCTACAGTTTATGGCTTGATAGGTAAGCAGAAAAGACAGCCTTTTTTATTTCTGCACTATGTGAAAACAGAAAGACCAGACATGCTGAAAAATCAGCTCAAAAGCAGTTTTAGAAAATCAATCAGAACAGCACACRACACGAGTAATGATGACGATAATTAATATCCATACATGCATGGCCAATATTGTATTTTCTCAACTAGTAACTGCATTATACCACACTCCATAAAAAAAGCGGATGGTGCAAATATTCTGTTTCAGTAACATAATCTCTTATTTACCTTTTTTTACACCTTTCCTCTTTCTTACTCACAAAGACTGTAAAGGAAATGGAATCTCTCAATAAACCAAAAGACAAAGACAGTCTTTTGGCTCTCTCAATATCCACTCTCRTGACAAAGCAGAAGCAATTCCTTTCTTCTTTCCTCCATCTGACCACGAGCCCCCAAGAAGATGACGGGATCTTGCATACTCTCTTTTCAGTTCTCTTTCCTGCAGCTACCCTTCTCCCTCCAGATGGCCASCGCCAGAGCCCCTGCAATGCTCTCCCATTTAATCCCAGCCCTCAGTGGGGCTGCACAAGTGTGACTAATTACAATTTATCAAACACTTCTAGTCTGCCCAGGCACCAGGCTCCAGTTTGCTCTRCATCCAGTGTGTCAGCCCTGCAGTGACAAAAACATCAGACGTTTCCTTTGCAACTCGGGACTGACAGGGCACAGAGAGCAGATCTATCAAAGCTGATACACAGTGTCTTTTTGAGAGCAGAATGGAGCAAAAGATTATGAAATGACCTGTTATAATTCTTCTCTTTCTGGTCTGAATTCCTAAGAGGTGTTTTCCTGTCTTCCTAAAGCCGTCATCCTCCCTGTAATGGCTCAGCTGTTAATGTCACTATCTTTTGAAACAGGTCATGCTAATGGCAAGCTTGCTTTGGGCATATTGATTCAAGCTCATTAATATGCATGCTCTCTCTCCATTCATTTGTTTCTCTATTTACTTTGAAGTCGCCTTGTTGGAATCTCAATGTGTTTCCGTGTTAAGACTCTTGCCTGGCATTTCTCAGCTTGCTGGGTCTGTTTTTCATCTAGGATGGAAAAAGGACCGACGGTATTCAATGGCACCTCAGGTGATATTTGGTGCCCAGCTGAATGAATTTCTTGGCCTCCTCACCCTCACCACTGAGAGATATTATTTCTACTTTCTTTCAAGTTGGCTGTTTACATTGTGCAATTTAGGGCAAGTAACATCTCTGTATTTGTCAAGCATCTGCCCCAGGGGAGCACAGCCCCTCGTTGTGTACCTACAAAAAATAACACCACCAGACTCTTTTTAAAATGTCCCTTCCACCTGAAAGAGCTATTTCCAGCATGGRAGGAGAAATCAACTTTGACTCAGATATCAAAATTCTCAGTGTGATAAGGGAAAGTGATTCAGCTGTCTTCTTTTATTTTTTGCCTTGTGATTCAGAAGCRGTTCATTGTTCAGATGACACAGTCAGTCATAACTGGGAGCTTCTGTGAGGGGGAGGAGTAAAAGCATTTATATAATATTCAGAGGTCACTTTATATTAATATCCCTACCCAAACAGACCAGTACCAACTTTGTCCTCTGCAAGAGGCCCATGTCATCCAAGGTTATTTTGGGGTGAAATATTTGGACACACCATTTTGCTAAAAGTACTTRCAGGGACAGTCAGTTAGGTAGTTTTTCTTGAGACTACATGTCCTGTCGAGGTAGGTCTGTTTCCTACTAAGTCCCTCCCAAGTAAATGTGGAAATACCCACCCAACTTTCATGATTCCTCCATACAAACAAGTTTCTTCTCCACACACATCCATCAGAAAAACAAGGAACACACCCCAAAGCATGTGAGAGGAGTTGGCCATGAGCAAGACGTTGAGCCTAACTAAGGAGTGAAGCCAGTTTGATTAACTAAATTTGATGGCCTCTTCTGGAAGGCTACAGAATTCAAATCAAACAAATGGGCACAAACAACTTGCAGATAGAACTCTAAGCCTCTGCTAAGCCAGTGCATCAAAACTTCTACAGTTTCACTGAACCAAGTTTGACTCCACATTCAACACTTACTTCCAAGTCTTTAAATCTCCACTGTACTTCTTGTGTAGAAAAGCAGCAGTATGCTGCAACAGTTTTAAAGTAACCAATTTCCCTGCTTGATCTCACTGAATTTTTCAGAAGACTAAATATTTAGATGTGGAGCTTTTCAAATATGGACAGTTTAATCCAATATAGYTTCCTAAATTATTTGCAGCATTAGTTTTAACAGGATCCACAAAAGGAAAATATTCAGTAAGTAAACACAACCAAACAAAATGAGTGGTAAAGACCAGRCTTCACTAATTTATGTCATGATACAAAGGGCTGCATGCAAGTCACTGGAATATGGCAATAGAGCAGGGCTGACAGGTGGTCAGGAGCTGAGAGTCAAGACAACTTGACAGGGTCCCTCACACAAAGACCAAGAAGGCTCCAGTCGCAGTAGCAWCTAACAGCTTTAACACACAGCTCACACTGTCTACTGGCTGCTGCCTCACTTGATGCAACACAGAATCCCTCTCCCAGCAGTCGGCTGGGGCACTTGATCTTGATCTAGACCTACTGCTGCACAGCCTTGGCTTAGTAACTACATATTCTCCAATGTAAGCAGCAGGTGAGGATGCAAYGTCATCTCAAAATCCATCACATGCTGCAATACAATTAAGAAGCGCAAAACTGAACAGTGAGTACAGAAATACCAGTGCTAAGAGCCAAAGTGGCCACTTGTGGAGGAGCTAATAGTCTAGAGATCAGAGTACACACCAAAATGTTTTAGGTTGTGGGKTTTTTTTCCAAGTTTACATTTCTTGTTTCCAGCACCTTAAAGCAGAAAAAATTCAGCTAGAGATTGGTGGTTATTGCAAATAAAAAGTGGAACTGATTACCTAGTGTGCTCAGCTTTGGTCTTATTAAAAATAATGGAAAAACACCTAAAACTCCATGATTGTCAYATTATAGTCACCTGGAACCTGAAAATATAGTCAACTCTAATAAGACAATGCACATTAMTTCATCAACTAAAAAGGAGGAGAGATGAGAGAGCAGGCCACAAAAAGATTTTGACTCACAGTGGCTAATTTCTGAACATCTTCGTCAGATGCTCCCAGTGAAGCAAGTCCTATCTCTTGTGAAAACTGTGCAAATTTTGGATCAGCAAGTAGAGGTACATGTCCCAAGAGTTCATGGCAAGTGTCCCTAAGGGAATGGAAATTAAAAGAGAGTCATTACAGAAACTCATACCATATAATTCCATAATTAATTTAACATAAGCCTTTTTACATGGATCTGACCCCTTCTTTAGAAGTCTTAAAATGAAACATGGTTTTYACAGTGTAGTTCTTCCCCATGTACGGTTTCTACGTGTAGGCAGAAACACACACATTTGCATCTGTTAAACAGGTCAAATGTCATTTAACCCCAGCTGTTCTGTGATTTCCTCATCTTTTCCAGATTGTGTGGAAGAGCCTGATCACCACTATCTTTCAGGCTTGGTGACATGAAAACTGAACTGCCCAGACGAAAGCCAGAGGTCTCACAAGTAAAGTTTTCAGCTTTTCTCTCCACATGAATTAAAGTCCAACACATTTCCTCTTCCCCATTTCTCTTTCCRTACCTGGGTAGAATATCAAACACTTTGCTACTTGCTCCCAAAAGTTTGGGGTAATATTTACAGAGGGTTCTAYGTGCTAAATTTCTCATTTATTCATGAGATCCTACTGCAGTTACTGGGTACTTTTGTTATGCAATCTACTTTTCAGCAAGCAGATTTCAGAAAAAGCAGAGAATCCAAATAATTTCAAAAAGAACAGCTGTTCACATCTGTAAGTGCATTTTTATTCATGACAAAGTGCAGACATAAGTGTACAAAAAACTGCTAACAGAAGTGCACATGCATCATCTACAAAAGCTTTCAAACAATTCTGAAAGTTTTGCTGCATTTGTTCACAGGAAATAATGGACTCAGTAGTAAAGTTCACTTTAAAAATCCAATCTGACATTTCCTTTGCTTTTGTGTCTTCAAAGACATTCCTCTTCTTTTTTTGTTGTTTTTTTTTTTTTTTTTTTTTTTTTTTTTTTTTTATCCTAAGCCGTAAACAAATGTTTTAAAGGCAGGGAGAAAGCATCAAGTTTTCTGCCTTCTACCCAAAATCATCCAATTTGTCTTTTATAAACTATTTTTGTTTGAAAAGTCACAGAACCTGACATTTCAGATAAATCATGAACAGAAAAACAACCCTCTATATAATTTAAAGTCTTATACTCAGTATCTTCACTAAGAAGTCTGAACCAATAATGTGTAGGTAGACAGTAGTAAATAGAAGTTCTGAATATACAAATGAAGGTTAAAACTTTTGGTATTCCTACTTTGCCTCACCAAAACTGTATCAAATACAGTTCCAGTACTGGAGAGCCACACACAAGTCTTCCTTCTCAGTCCAAATGGTCTCATCGATAGATGTGGAGCAACACTTGCCCATGTTACAGTCACACTCTTTGGTGAGACAAGCACCACTGCGAAGTTGTGTATGACAAGTTTGACAACTTCATATATGAGCAATTCATTCAACAAGACCCACAGCCTAGATAGTAATCCCTTTCTCACTGGAACTCAGACTGGAAAAGTTTATTAGCGCTGCATGATATCCATTTCTTTGTTCAGGAGCTGGTTTGCATCAGTTGACCAGATAATCATCAAAGATAATGACCCTTTTTTAATTAATTCGGTTTCAGTCACAAGAATTTCTTCTATCATCCCCTGCAAGACTTAACTCACTAAACAACACAAAGGACAGCTGGGAAATGTAGTCTGCAGTCTGACAGACACACCACTTCTCAGTACCAAGCAATTCACTGGAACAATGTGATTTCTCCAACCTTCAACTTCCAACACAAAAATGGGCCACAAAACCCATTCTCTGGAAGCCCAGCACACCAATTCTTACCTCCACTGGACAAAATGAGACTAATTGTGAGCATCTGTGCTACACTACAGGAGTCCAAATATACCTCACTTTGTATCAGATGTAGACACCTGAGCAAGTGTCTATATCACTATTTTCCTGTCCTGAAGCCACAACCCCCAGAAACAAATAAGAAAAGATGAGTTACTCCCAGCTCTGCACTGGGACACATGGTCTTTGTTGTGTCCAGCCATGCAGACAAAATGAGAACAGACAAAGCCTAATCCCATTAACTTGTCTCTGTTGGCAAGGGAAAGAGAACGAGAAGGCAGAAGATATTTCTCTTGTGCCTTTAGCTTGTAGATTCTTCCATTAAAGCTATGCAAAGTAGTATTTTGAATGTGCAGTTATAAAGAGGGGAGCTTGAAGCAAAAAGCATATGAACAAAAAAATAACCAAACCCACTAAATCTTTCAGGCAGAAACATGAGCCAGCATTTGGGATTGTCAGTGAATTCTCAGACTTCCCTGCCAGTCTGGCCCTTTATAGATAGTCTAAACAATATAATTCTTCGCTTAGCTACCAAGGCTTTATCCTTTTGTTTTGTCTTATTCTGAAAATAATTAAGTTCCTTTAATTTATTCACACACATTGCTCAGAGAAAATAAGATTTTTGTAATGCACTTCTCACAGCAAAAGATTTTTCTTGGAGTAAATTAGTTAGTAGAGCAGAAGAAATGTACACGGCTCTGTAAATGTAGTAGAAACATGATTAAAATCAGAAATAAGTATGCTTTAAAATGCATATGGTAGTGATACAGATCAAACCAAATGAACTCCCTTATTTGTATCTAGCTCTACAGCTTGGGTGTTAAATCTGACGGAAAGCCCACTGAAGTCAAAGGGAGCTTTTTTACCAGGTTTATGTCATTGAAATGCACATTCACCAGCCAGGGACCTGCAGCAAACCTCATTATGGCCCCATATATCAACCAGCAGATCATTGCAACTACTGCAGAAAATGAAGAGCTGTCCCCACTCAAGTCAATTTAGTTTTCCCTTTGATTGAAAGTACCAGGACTTCACTCTACACTCCTGGTAACACTCACTCTGTGTTCTATGCTACGGGAAAAAAAAAAAAAAATTTAAAGGGGATTTTCAGAATTTTCTTATAGAGTTCTTGATAGTCAGTATACGTTACTTAACTACTGTGAACCAGTAAGTCTGCAAGAAGAGAGTATAGCATCATAAGAAAATGAAAACTTAAATCCTCTGTTAGTCATWGTCAGAGGTGTTAAGACTATAACCTGCATTTGTAAGTTCAGCCCAAAGAAGGAATAAAAGCCCTCATTCTAACTRAACTATTATTATTACTCAGTCAGAGTACTTACTTTCCAGACAGCATGAACAGAGAGGTTACAAAAAAAGCAGCTGCCATTACTACTAAGGATCAGCCATGATCCGTTGCATAATTCTGAATGTAAGCAGCATCCTGAAAACTACAGGGCTCTCAAACACAGAAATCAATGAACCAGAGAACATAATGAAAAGCCCAGACACACTTAATTGCTTCTTGGAAGATGTTATTTCCCTTTTTTCTGTTGGAGTTATGTACCTAAATCTGTTATCAGTAGATGAAAATGTTCTTCTAGTTWGTACTAAGTTAATAAATGTCATTATTCTTTTGCTGAACACTGGTACAGGCTGCAGTCTGAAACACTGGCTTCCCACAGGAAAGGAAATCATTGATGCAAAACCTGGTACTTCCTTTGCATCATTTATTTTTTTGAAATATCTACAGATATTTTCAGATAGACTAGAAGGGGTTCAGCCCTTCTTTCCATCCAAGCCCTTCTTTCAAGATTTTATACTGCATCAATTTGCTTACAAATTTAAGAGATTAAAGTTCTAATTATAGAGGTTACAAAAGTGACTGAATTCCTTCAGGGATCACCACCTCCTTTCCAAAAGAAACACACACACAAATCTAGCCTCAGAGCATTTCAGCAAATACTTCACCCAATTGAGATGCTGAGGGAAGAGGCAGATAAGTGTCTAACAGCACCACCTGGTGACTCCTACCAGAATAAAGCTACAGCATTTTTAGATACAGTTTAGTATGCTGTGCCATGAAACCTTTTATATCCAAAAATATTACTCCATGGTTTTGGCAGTCGATTCATGAAATCAAACTTAGGCATGAGTCCAAATGTTTACAGGGCTGGAGCTGAATATATATGTATGAATCCTTTGTGTCAATTTGGACAAAAATCAAATACAGTCAAGTAGTGCAAGCTGATTAAACCACAGCTACAATTTCATGCTAACTGCCTGATCACTGATTCACTGGAAAAATGTATTGTGGTTACAAGATCAGCAGACACCTTTGGTAAAAATACCTCCATAATATCTGAATTACATGTATTGTTATGCTATTACTGCACAAAACATATGTAAGAACCAAAGTCTCTTTGATTTCCTTTTTCCTCACTTTTCATCAAAAGACCATATGCCAAAATATTTCATACTAACTTGCAATATTCTGTTTTGGAAAAGCTGGAACACTGTCCCATAAAAGTCACAATTAAAGTGTTTCTTATTTCTGTCATCATGTTCCCTGTAACAGGCTTCATGTCTAATATTCTCACTTGGTAAGAGAATAGTGCCTCATGGCTTGTTTCTGTTGTGTTAGTGGAGAGAAATGAAGTTGAGCTGCGGAACCTGGTCCAAAAAAAGACAAATGGGAACACAGAAAACCAAATTAAAATTCTAAAAGTGGGGCTTTTTTTAGATTAGGGTTTTTTTCACAACCTCCTTCATTGTCCAGCAGAAAATAAAATTGTAGCCACTTCTTCAAAATTTTTAGGTGAAAACTCCGTTTTCCACTGAAATATAATCCAAATAGCATTTCTGACCCACTATATAAATAACTGAGTTGTTTAAGATGCTAGTAAAAAAGTCAGCAAAAATCTGTGAATTAAATTCTGGCTTGYCAATGTGAAGGATTTTATCATCAACAGTGTAGGGAAAATTTCACATTTGTAGGAAGGTTCCTCCTTTCAATCCTGGCAAATTCAATTGGGTCTTTTAAGAAAATGGYGAGTGTATTCTGTTAGTACTAAAGCAAATGCAGCAACTTACGGTTCCGGTGTGTACAGAGGATCTGAGCCGTGCCGTATGTACTGAGTGCAGTGGAAGACTCTGTAGGCTAAGCCAGCTAAAAAATCACGGGGAGACAGGTATCCAGCAACTGGTCTCACTGTGAAGCCAGACCTTTCTGAAGGGAAAGAGATAATAAAAGACCACATTATATATATCACTGTATCAGTTTCTGGTGACAGATCTGCTGTTAATTATTCTACCAGAAGCAGGACACGAAGAATCTTGATAATTACCACACATAATTTTCAATTATTACATACAGTAAGCATTTTGCATTGCTAGCATACGTATAATGAAAACAGCTTGAGGTATTTCAAAGTCTGTTTGAATACCTTTGTCCAGGAAAAAATGCTAAGGTACCATGATGTTCTTAAAATTTTTAGATCTGGTACCAAGTGGGAGAGAAGCTTCCATATTGGAAAATACTATTAAAAAACTAACAGAACAGAATAGAATTAAAACAAATCTGTCCTTATTTTTACAGATATTGTTTGTGCCAATAAAATACCAATTTTTACAGTTGAGGCACTCATTTAAATATTTAACAGTGTTCCTTTGCTAGATGAGTCCCAGAGGGAAAGAGTTTCAGACCCAGTGACTTTAAAAAGCATGTTTCTCTCAAAAATTAATTCTTCACTCTTTCGAAGTTTCTACAGGACCATGTTTCAAGCTTTTCTGCAACAGATACTACTACCTGCTCTATGTAGTCTAAAAACATATTAACATATTTCTGAAAGTGTGAAATTTTGAATTTCTAGCTGCGGAGAGAAAGATCTGTATAATTTGGCATCATTCCTTAGAGACTGTAGCACAATATATGAGAGACCCAGAAGAATACAATCAAATTCAAATAATGGTGAGTCAGCTATTAGCAAATGACAAGAATTATGGATGAAGCATGACTGAGGAAAGTAAGCCTCTCCTTACAAATTCTGTATTTCCTTTAGCTTTTCCATTTATATATGTGGACAAATGCTTTGTAAATTATTCTCTTACCAGCACATAAGATGGTTTTCTTTCAAACACCCACCTTTATAATATTTTAGTTCCTAAGTAAGAGGTTTAAGGAACAAATACATGTATCTGAAGGGACCTTTGAGGAGAAATGCAAATCTTAAATTAACTCTATGGTGGCTTTTCTTCTAGAGCTAAAAACCACAGCTCCATGTCTGCCACATTTTCCACATGGGATACATTTACATTACAACTGAAAAATAAGATTATTTTCAAACTTAAATATGTAATAGATTGATCCTTTAATAAATAAAATGAAAGACAAGCACCATGTCACCTATAGTATCCAACATATTTTTCAACATATAAATATAAGGACTAGCCTCATGAGGTCTTGAGCACTCAGGAAAGCCTCATATTCATACACAACAATGTGCCAAGCCTGCTCTCCTTTTTAAATTCAGTTATCTTGGCATTTGACTCCCTCTTGCTCCTGTCTGGATATTTGGGGGATGCCCGGTGTGGTTATCAGAGCTCCCAATTTGTAGCAATGAGCGGGCAGCACTAACTCAACTCTTTCTTTTTACTGTACTGAAGGATTTTCTCCCTGTGCAAGATAACATCATGCTTTACATGTTCAGCTAATTCATTTCTCTCCATTTCATGCTTGCAAATACCTACATAAAATTGTCTTAACACAAAAAACTCCCTGCCATGGAGAACACCAAAACGAGAATGATATTTCAGGCTAAACTGAAGACCACTGACAATSCTGTGAGTTTTCTCATTCAATGTACTTTGTACTCCATACTAACAAAAAAGACTATTTTCATGAAACAATATCTACTGATAAACCAAATATTAATCTTACCTTTAAGAAAAATAGAAACATCTTCCAACTGAGGAACATTATCTTCTCTGTATCCACAGTACTTGGTCAACAGAGGAAAGTTTTTTAAATATTCACGACAAGCATGTGTGGGATAGAGTTTACTGAGTTCCCTAAATACCACCCCCCAAGTTTTAACTTCTTCAGCTGTGTACTCCACTCTGGGAATGGGTTGACCACTGTCGGAAAAAAAAATACAACTGAATACAACCAGATCATAGATAGTAACATTTCTGCAAAAAATGTTAYTTAAATAAAGGCAAATGAAATATTAAAACAATTTAAACTATTTTAAATTGACAGCTTGATGTTTCTTCCTTAGAATTATTTCTTCATATTATGATGCACATATTCTGTCATTTCCTTAAGAACTGTATTTCTTACTGAACAATCACATTATTTCTTAATCTTTGTACATATCATAGTAGAAAGATGGATTTCTTATATACCAGAAATATACCCTAGTCCAATACCAGACTAATATTTCTCCACTTATTGCCACTGRTGCCTTTGCAAGTGGATAGCTGAAGATCCAGATTCAGTCTAACATGCAAATTCAGTGAGACCTTCAGCAGACTGCATGCTCTGTCCATTCTTTAAAATACATAATAATCACACAGCATCAAATGCTGGGTGAAGATTAGGCAATTACATAGATGCTTAGAAATTTATGGATCCAATTAAAAAAGATATATTTATTGCTTAAACTGTTGCTTGTATGTTGCAGATATCTTGAAGCCCCAAATTCATTCAGGACTACAGTATGGRGAAGCTCATCTCAGAGTCAGCAGCCTAGCCTAAGTGAAACTAAGCCTTTAAACACATCTCTCCATTTTTTTTTAATTCTGCCATGTTCCTCTGCCCCCTCCCCCTTGCACAGATGAACAGATATTGCAAAACAGGAGCCTTCCAGGGTACCTGCAAATCTGTTTCTGACATCCAAGATTTGCCTTGAGTMGTTATAGCTAATTCAAAATGCTATGTGAGTATTTTGAAGAGCTCTTTCCAAGTTGCACTGCCTTGTATTTAGCTGTRAGGAATTTCCCATGTCATGGTCATGGACCATCATCTCATGTCATTGATTTCCCCTAGAAATGTTATAAGGTTTTTTTATTTAATATTCACAATATAGAACAGGCAATCACTGCAATATGCCTTTTCCTCAGGCATCTGCTGCTGCTGCTGCACTGTAACAAGTACAGACTGGCAAAGGGATTCACAGGATCCTCCTCCACTCTATCAGTCCTTATCTCTCACTCTCCTGCCACAGGGCTGGCAACATGGGCACTCCCAGCCCAGTGCTGCAGCTTCTCCAGCATCACAAAAAAGGATATTTAAAGGATATCACTGCAGCAGGAGAACTGCAGTGCTGGGCTTTTGCTGGCAGTTGTTGCCCAATTCATAATCCTGTCTCCACTATATAAGGTAACAAGGAATAAGCCCTCATGTCACATTTGATTGCTRCTATGCAGTCCCTACATGCACAAGAGAGGATCATCTGCCCTACATTCAYTGTGGTTGTCACCTCATCTTTATTGAAAACTTACCATTTAATCCCCTTGCCTTTCATGATATCAAAGCATTTTGATCCATGGCAGTTATCTGTCAGTCAAAGGCAACTTTGTATGAGATACTCGTACTTGGTAAGGATTGCTGAATATCCAACACATGCACTAGTTCCCTGTCAGCCACTTTTGCAAACATGACAAGAATTGCAACACATTTAGTGAAGTATTTCTCATCCACAGAAGCTGCAGTGGRTCTGTGCCCATCCTGTAGTGGGAGACAGTCCTTCAGATCTGGTAACTGTCTTTCCCCTTAACACCTTATCAGCCTTAAATTGCCTGCCAGCTCATGGAAATCTTAGCACAGCTATACTAAATTATACCATACAAGACAGATACAAGCAGGCTGCTACTCTGGTTGGGTTTGCCAGAATACCCAGCCTCATCCCTTTTTCTTAGGCCTGACCACTACTATGGATAATGCTATAGTCAGCCCTGGCAGATCAAGGAGGAAGATATGTTTTTCCAGTGGAAAAACTCAYGTTTCTATTTAGCCTGTCACTAGAGAGGCATAAACACAATCAAGGATCTGAAAGATTGTTCACTGCTCACTAAAAGGTTTATAACTTAGTTATTGTTTCAATTAATTCATTAGTACTGAAGTAAGGATCACTGAACATTAATTCCTTAATAGGCTTTATGCCTAGGAGAGCTGATCTCGTTTCCAGCTGAACATGATACTGCTTCCTTTACAGAGAGAATCAAGGCAGCCAGACTTGAGGGAGGATCTATGCCTTTCTCCCTCAGCTCTGCAAGCCTCATATTTCTTACCTTCTTATTTCAACAAGCAAGACCCACCTTGCACCCAAACATTGCAATAAATCACAAAAATGGCCAACCTGCATAGCCAGTTTCCTTGTGGCTAAGATGACTCTACAAGCTAACTGAATATGAATTTTTATTTCTCCTTATTAAAATAGGTTCCTTCCATTTTGCCATGGTCATGAGCTATCAACTCATATTATTAATTGCCTCTTAACTATCGTATGTTTCCTCCAGATTTAATTTTCTCAACACTTTTCCAAATCCCAATCAGTCTCAAAGGACTCATTAGCAAGACTAAGGCGTTTTTGCCTATCTTTAGGATAGAAGCTAAGGGAAGGAGGGAGGAATATGGTTTTTTATGGCTTTTTTGGTCCATTTATTTCATACAGATGATCTTCATTACTCTGCTCTATTAACATATCTTTTAACACATCTTTAACACCCAGCTCCAGCAAATATCTGCTCTTCCAAGTTCACTTTGTAATGCTCTTCTCTCTCTCCATTACAGACACCACTTTATGCTCAAGCAAAGCAAAGCATCTACCACCATAGAACAGTTGCAATTCATAAAGAAAATGCTGATCTGGGATTTTCGACTCAACTTTTTATGGAGCCAATTCCTTGCAGCCRAATATATTTTTTCTCTTTTTTTTGKTTTTTTTTAAGGAAGTAAGTGTGGGTTATTGGGTTTTTACAATGGAAAATGAAACGTAGAAGCACATCAAGCCTCAGCAAGTGATTAGGAAGGTCACTTGCCTGGAAGACACTGAGAGGTGTTTATCTCCAAGGAGAGCAGCCCTTGTAAAAGAATTATTCTTTTTGTATAAATAAATAAATAGTCATTTGACCACAGACGAGAGTGTGATGAGATGGTGACGTAGTGTCAAGACACTGATACTAACTCTGAGCTCCACAGCATCACATAACCWCGGCAAAGTCTTCCCTGAGCTGATTTGCCTTTGCTCAGCACGGCTTAGGCTGTGCTGCAGCAGGATACTGGGGGTGTCTCCCTGGGCTGTCTCTCCATGGATACCCAGACTGACTGTACAGACCAGTACATACAGCACATCTCTGGGGGTAAGGATAACAACTGTAGGGAACCCGAAGTATGAACAAGATTTTGATASGTTAGGTAATTGCCCTAAGCACTGGTTTCCCCTGCCTTTTTGTGGTCCCTGGCTAAGAGTATTTGAAACCTCTTGTTTTCCTTTGATTGTAATAAAAGGACAACTTTGTAATCTTTTAAAAGTTTGAAAAGATGAGTGGAATGAAGGAGTACATCTGAGCAGTTTTGCTCAAGTACAAAGACTTGGTCCTCAAATAACCTCTTGTTTGGATTGCCTAATTTTTGTAATGTGCCTGCAAAAATATTCTTAAACCTTCAAAATCTAAAGAAGGAAAAGGTTTTCTTTCCTTTATTTGTTTTATTTTCTGGAGATAGGCAGAATTACTTTATGTAATTTTGCAAAAAGATGTTTCTCTACCAGTTTCAGTTCAGGGTGGAAAAAAACCCCACACTTTGAAGCAAAAGACCAACTGCTGCTTAGGAAGCCAGCTACACCCCACCTTTACAGCACTTAGGCAGCTGAGAGGGAGAAGAACAAGATCTTACCAGCAAGTTAGCAGCTGTGAAATGCACAGCACTACTGCTACCAGCACGGGTAAATGGAGAACTATCCCACTTACTGAAAGAGCCTAAGAGCACACACAGCCTGCCCTGTCCACAGGTATCCACTTGACATTTCACACTGCAATAAATAAAGAACCTCTAACTTCAGTGCAAGCATTAGACTAAAACAAAGATAATAAATCAATCAGCTGTAAACAAGCATACTGACAAAAAAGCTATTTAAATTTTTATTTGAAAGCTGGCTAAACTCAGGGTTTACCCAGGGAAGTCTAAAGATCTTCTCTACCAATAAACATCTGCCCCAGCAGGCAGCAGCTCAGTGTGCTGGATGGATGTCATGAGCACCCGGCTAAATGAATACCATTGTTGGCAGAAAGAAAGTGGAACAAACACTAGCACCTACATGTGTAAGATTGGTAATAGCTTAATGGCTGACATGGGACAAAAGTGAAGGAAAAATAYAATAAGAATTATATGGTCTCAAAGCAGAGTTAATCCTTCTGTTCCCCCAGCCTTCTGCAGGCTTTATAATACTCTTATACTGAAAAACCTTCAAAAATTCAATTTTGACTTGATTCCTGACAGCATGTACTGCCTATAAGTGAAAAAAAAAATTGCCTATTTCATGTTCTTAAACCATGTAGGTAGAAATCTCAAAGGCAAAAAAAAAATGAAAAACCTAAAGAAGTGTGGAGAAGAAAATGGAAAAGAACATGAAATTAATATGTTCTTACCCTTGAGAAGGAGGGCTTAAACCTGTTGCAAATAAAACTTAGAGTAGGATTAGAATTAGTTGAGTGCTTCAGCGACAAGAAAATTGCAACACAGTAGGTGTTTGTAGGTAGAACAGATAGTTTCCTTACTTCCAGAGACTGCAGCAAATTGAAAATACTGGCTTGAAGTGGGGAAAAAAATTCAGAATGAGATAACACTTGCAGTGTAGTTGTGCACTGGCTTCTCTAACTACATAGAAAAGTACTGACTAAGTTCTAAGAAATTTGGAGCTGTGTTGGCAAAATTAGTAAATGGCATTTTGCAGCATCCAATAGAATCATAGAATTGTTAAGGTTGGAAAAGACCTCTGAGATCATCAAGTCCAACTGTTAACCCAATACTGCTATGTTCACCACTAAACCTTGTCCCAAAGTGTCACATCCAACCACCTTCTGAACACTTCCAGGGGTGGTGCTCCCACACTTCCCTAGGCAGCCTACTCCAATGCCCAAACAGCCTTTCAATGAAAAAAATGTTTCCTTCTAACTGATCTAAACCTCCCCTTGTGCAGCTTGTGGCCATTTACTCTCGTCTTGTCACTCATTATCTAAGAAAAGAGGCCAACCCCCACTTCACAAACCCTCCTTTCAGGCAGTTGTCGAGATAAGGTCTCCGATGAGCTTCCTTTTCTCGGTGCTAAACAACCCCAGTTCCTTAGCTGTTTCTCACAGAACTTATGCTCCAGCTCCTTCCCCAGCTCCATTGCCCTTCTCAGGACACTCTCCAGCACCTCAATATCCTTTCTGCAGTGAGGGACCCAAAACTGGACACAGGATTCCAGATGTGGCCTCACCAGTGCTGAGTACATGGGGACAATCACCGCCCTGGTCCTGCTGGCCACACTATTCCTGTAACAGGCCAGGATGCCATTGGCTTTCTTGGCCATCTGGGCACTGCTGGCTCATGGTCAGMTGCTGCTGACCATCACCCTCCAGATCCTTTTCAACTGAGTAGCTTTCCAGCTAATCTCTCAGCCTGCAGCAATGCAGGTTGTCGAGACACAAGTGAAGGACCCAGCACATAATTTGTTGAACTTCATACAATTCGCCTCAGCCCAGTATAGTACGTGCATCAAAAAAAAATTAGTGAGCTCTTCCAGCTATGTAGGGATGCTATATATCTGTGATTCAGCAGTGCCTCMGTTTGTCAGTAAGACATGCAAATATTTGTAAAATATTTTCTAATGTTTAAGCAGTTGTGCATAAAATGCTAAAAGAGAGTGCTTGCCTTTCAAATGCTCTACTTGCCTGTAGCTATATCAAAAATGTAATGGGATTCCAAGGATCGGGTTTGTAATTTATAGCCTACACTAAACTAGTCAAAGTTTAAAGGATGACTTTGTCTATTGTTAAACTTCAGCCTACTGAATTAAGTAGAGCATGAATTCTAACTAGTCAGCAGCACAGGGAAGAATTATGCCAGTACTTACTATTTATAGCTCATGGCAACATCCACAAAGTACTTTCTTCTCTGTCGATAGACATTGTCCTTAAATCCCTTAAGCAAAGAAGAAGAGAGTAGTTTACAATAAGGACTGTAGCTGTAAGAATTATAAAATAAATCATTGAAGTGTTTATTTAGTACTTTGTTGCATTATATTTTGATTAACACTGTCTACTGGACTGCAAGAGAAAATAAGGATTTTTTTTCTGTTTTTTCTTCAAGAAAGTTCCACAGGAGTTGTTCCAAGACAGTTTTGTTAGTAGGTGCAGTCATTCATGCAAGATGCTGAAAAGGGAAACTTTATGCTTTCCATGATCTGAATGGAGATTTACACACAGGTATAGAGCACAATTCTTAATGCAACTTTCTTCACTAGATCAAGCATCTAAAGATCATAGAGAACTCATTTTGGAGACTATTATTTCAGCAGTTGCCACTTAACCAACACATTGGGAACTGAACCACCAGCCTCCAGTACCAAGTAGACATATTGCTTCAGTTTGAGTTACAAGGGAAGGGCTCTGCCTCGTGGGCTACAGTAGGCTCATACATTTTCATATTAAGAGAAAAAGAGATGTATAACATAACACAACACACTGGCCAGTTACAGCTCTTTAAGCTATTCAAAATTAGAACAAGATCTTTTTTATACCTATAAAATATATAGACACTTCAGGTTTGGACTGAAAGAAGAGTAAACTATTTTCAGAGTAGAATGGCCAAACTCTTGAAGAGTAAGTGGGTAAAGAGTTATCTAAGTTCTCCAGTTAGTAGCCCAGAAAGGGCATTTAAGTTTCCCCCAGTAAAAGCTGAAAATTAAAATGTCTTTTTTCCTGACTGCTCACATAGACAAATGCAAAACACTGAAGTGAATGAAAAGATGACATTGCTTCATTTGAAATACTTGTATGAGCGTCCATAAAACCCAGAAAACATTTTACTGCCTCATAACCAAAGCTTTGCTGCTGAGGCAGAGAATGGGAGGATTTCAGAGGACTACAGAAAGBCTTCAAATAGCCCCTCCTACACAGAAAAGCTTCTTTGACTGCCAAAAAGTTGCTGTAATCTGGGGGAGCCTCCTTGTCTCCTTAACACCTTTTGACGTAAATGTTGCATTACTCAGCTGAAGACCATTCAAGACCTGGAAAGTGGAAGACAGCAGAGGGGACTTAAAAAGGTTGTCAAGTGTCACGAAACTGAGACTGAAATAATTTGCCGTTAGGGAGTAGGTTGGGGCTCAGCTGCTGAAGTGGTGCTATCCTTCCAGGTTCTATAATAGGTTCATTCTCTTTGGTCCCCTGGCACTTACATGCCTCTGTTAAGGAACAGGGCACRCACCTGGGAGTGGCCTTTCAAAGGCCAGCTACAGATTTAAAGGTTCTTACCCCATTTCTAACATCTAGCATGCTGCATAGGCTGACAAATGGTGTGTAAATGTTTGCAACAGTTCTCCCAAGTGTAAAATATATATTCATATAATGCAAATGTCTTCCTTTGTTTTCTGTAAAACTGAAGGCAAATTTTCAGCAGAGCACTCAAGTATTTAATGAAGGTACCAGCTCASAACATAAAACAATATCTAACGGTGTATCACAGGCATAAACTCAAAGCTGGAATGAGCTGTCACTACAACCTCTGTTTGAACCAAATTATGGTCAATGGTTGATATAATCAACAGGCTTTTCCTTTTTGAGAAAATGTGAATGAAATCCTAGTTTTTCATCTGTAAGTATGTAGCAGAAAGCAGGATCCAGAAACGTGCTCCCTGCCTATGGGCCTTCAGTAGGGGAAGGGCTCCCACATGATAGAGGAGGCTGGGAATGAAGCAAGGTGATGATGATGATTGTTGTATGGTATGTAAGGAGGTTACACCTGAGACTCGGAAGCGGGGCTGCCATGGGGCTTTGTGATGGTGTCCACTTGATCTGTGTGCACAGGAGAGAGACTCGGTGCCCGAGTTCCCACCACAGCACAAAACATGTGCAACTGAAAACAAAGGAGACTATCATCTACTGTTAGAGTTTGACATCATTCTATTACAATACAGTCTTATGGTCACTGCCTACTTTCAGCTGGACATTTCTCACAATACCAGATTAACCCAGCCTATTTTAGGAATTAATACAACTACCTACCACCAGCATCTTTCAGTCAAATCATTCATAGGTAGAAACTTGGGTTTATAAAAAGGGAAAATATTTGTGCATAAATGCTTTCAATCATCTGCTGTCTAAAGACTCAGAGGTTAAGTATTTACACACATTAGCCAAAAGAAATTAAACAATAACAAACACATTTTTCTGTCTTTTGCATTGAGCAATTGGCACTGCTACAGATACAGCTTGTGTAAGCAGGCTTGTCTCCTGCCACCAAAGTCAGGAAACAATGAGAGACACCTTCCCATCTGCTGCCTTCATCAGAAACAGGAACATGTTCCTCAATTTTGTCTTGTAATTACCTCCTGAGTGCAAAATTATTCCAYCATAATTCTTTCTTCTCTGACAACTAGTGACAATATCAATTCTTACCTAAGAGCTACTTGTGGTAGAACTGAAGGTCATATTTATCTGAAGTCTTTAAAGTTTGGAACCTTTCTATTAATCAATTAAATTTTTAAAAAATGCAAGCAGTACAAAGGGGATATACTTGTTAAACAATGAATAAGTTTTCTGGAGGACCTCCATTTTGTATATCCTTCAAGAGAAAACAGAAACTAATTCACTGAAACTACTGAAGAGAAACCAGTGCTCATCTTCTGAAAACAATCAGCAGTCAACAAGCTTTTTATTTGACAGGCAAATAACCCAAACAAATTATCTGCAGGACAACTTTATGTTATACTTACAGGGTGATCAGCATCCAGCTCAGATCCATACATCAAAACTCTCTGAGAGCATTTGTCTAACTCAGAGATCTTCCTGGGGAACCATGGGACACAGTCAAGATCTGTAGGAGACAGAATGCAAATTGAATGGACTGGAGTATAAGACCAGGGAGATACCTGTGCACAATGTCTCTCAGTGTCTAAACAAAATGATACAAAAACAGTCTTGCCTTCTTCATCAGTCCAGATGTTTTCTGGTGGATTGAGAGATACTATATTAGTTTGAAACTTGAGCAACTGGATTAATTCATTAAATTCTTTCTTACTGCAGTCACAGTCCACAAAAATTTCCACCTCTGAATTCCTTCTCTTTGATTTTCGTGATTCAATATGAACCATACTCACATGTTTTTCCTGTGGAAAGACGAAATAGCAGATGAAATACAGACATGCCTAGAAGAACAATGCTAGGAGAACAATATTGATGGAATATTCCTCARGAAAGTTTTTCCAGTTATTAAAAGGCTTTTTTATTGAAAGTACTCCCTTTTTCTATTTACAGGATTAGTGACATATAATAAATACTAATGGTGAAAAAAAATCTGTATGTGAAAGTAAAAATAAAATTTTTATATTTAATGAAGAAAGATAACTAAAGATTTCATTTGATCTACAGAAATAATCTCTTAGAGAAGACAGCAGAAGACTTTTATTTAATGCAATTTTATATTTATCTTTGCAATAAATATTAAATTCTAATGCAATTTTAGTAGGCAATGTGCATAATAATAATAATGTTAATTTAAATATAATTTAGTATGTTTCTTTAAATAGATGTTATTAAACATGTTTAACTTTAGTATCTCTTATGAGCACATGAGGAAGAACATTTTTATGAGAATAACTGTGTATTAGTCCTCACATATCTGTTGTGCAATTATCAATAACATGAAGTGTTAAAAGTAATAAAATTAAAATCTGATTCMATTTATTCTCTATTGCAATGTCCCCATCAAACACAAATCATGCAACAAACATCAGAGTGTATATAGGTATAGCACTAAAACYTTCCTATGGGGTACCTTCTCCACCAGCACTACTGGTGTGCCGAGGTATCACACAATGACAGATAAATACAATGTGCTGTGACAGCCTCGCTTCAAAACAGGAGGTTGGACTGGATGTCTGCTCTTAACATGACTGACTTTCTACAGGCTGATTTTTCCTTTCTCTTGCTAAATAGAAATTTTTACTTTTCACAACTATTCTTCCACTTACTCAGCGAAGTAAAATTACTCAGTAAAACATTTGTTGACTTCCAAATGGGAAGAAATTCCTGTTTATACTTGCACTTGCCTGCTGTATTTTACATAAATGTCCATTTCAGATGAAGGTCTCCTCTGGTACAGTCAACCAGGAATCTCTGCTTTTACACCTCTGGATATGCATATGTAGTTCTTTCACTGGCATGCTCCATAACATGTGTATATATGTAGCAACCCAATCACATAATAAATTCACTTTTATCTTCCCTAGGTTAAGTAGAGAACAAAATTCTGCACTCCCCCACAGTACTCAAAACGTTAAGTGATTACATGATTGGGGGTGATATCTCTGCCATATCTTCCAGAGACCAGAGTGAGTTCGGTGCCTATTGCCAAAAAGGGGTAATAGATGTGCAAATCCAGAATTTCAGGTATGAACCCATCAAGCATTTTAAGTCAGAGCCACAGTTAGACACTTAACCCTTGGAGAAGAGCTGCATTGAAAACACAACTCCTACTGCAGCTTCTGTTAACTGACTTAGGTTTCCCCTCTTTTTGTCAAAGACYCTGCTTCCTGGCAGACTCCCTCCTTTGAGTCTAAGACATCCCTTTTTCTTGGCTGGGGACTCTAAGTATCTAATGTACATGAGCCTTGGGAATCTGTTCCCAGAGCCAGCTACCGTGAGTGTGGACTGGTAACACCCAGTGATCCCAGATCCCACACTTACATCCTTCTGATGGCTCAGCCTGAGAGGCAGGCTCCAAGCCACCTCCTCACTTCACTGCACAGACTGAACAACCTAAGACTTTTATCATACTGCTAAAACTACCCTCAGACATGCCTCCAAGCATTCTGGCCAGGAGCCTAACCAACAAGCACGGATCACCTGGGGATCTGTGTGGGAACCAGTACTTAACAATTTACATTCCAGTTAGACACAAAAACCCCTAACCCTGCAAGCACTTAAAGGTGTCKCTAGCTTTGTGATCAAGCAAGTCTGCCAACAGCACCACCTGATAGTATGTAAYTTAGATTCCAAACTGCTCTCTGAAAGTGCCTCCTTTCACTGCAGCCTGCACAGACAACTTCAAATTTAATTTACAGTGTTGAGAATCACATCAAAAACCTGAAGTGAATGATGTGAACATCAGCATCACTGTCAAATTTTATTCCAGAAAATGCTTCACAAGCCCAAAATGCTTTGTTCAATGGTCCATAAAATTTTAAGTTACTTTTACTCAGTTCTGCAGAGCGAGTGTAACTGCACTCTATTCCTTCTGCCACGGTCCATTAGATCTATATCAACAAAGAGCCTGACCTCAGTAGCCRTCCTCAGCGCAGCCAGCATAAATGATTTGTAAGTGTTACCTGGAAGAGTCGGAGAGCCTTCACCAGTCCACCAACTTCGTTCTTCAAGGAAAACACCACAGCAGTCTTTCCACCTTCAGAAGCAGATTCACTTTTCCCATTTCCCTTATTCCCTTTCTTTTCTTCATTTTTCCCAGAACTCGATCTGTTTAGCTACAAATCGATAAAGAACAGGGTCATCTCAGATAAAAATGAGCATTTCCAGCAAGTGAAATTTTTGTTTGAAAATAGCTGAACAGAACTCATCTTGGCTCAATTCAAAAGGTAGTATGTTTACTTGAAATCAGAATCACAGGCTAAAGGCAGCTGCTAGAAATGACTGTGTAAGGTGCCAGTCCATACCAAAATTTAAAAGAGAAAAAAAAACCTAAGGAAAAGTATATAAATGGGATAGAAATATAATGGCACTATTAGGGCAACACTATCATTAGAAGTAAATATGGAGATAGTCTAAATTACTGGCAAAGCCTGCAGATTGGTTWTTGTAATCTGAATATTGCTGCAAAATCACAGGGATGCTAGAATAACCTATATCAGTCAATTTACAAAGATGTGCACTGCTCTGTATTTTTGTATTAAAGCCAAAACTTTATGTTCTCTGTTGTAGTACAATTAGTGTTATCATGTTATGCAATTCTTCTTCAGAAAACAAAACTTCTGTTGATTATAAAGACAAGAACAGAAATACAAGCTGCATCACAGAACATGAAGTTGGATCATCTGGTCCAACTTTTCCTGGCAAAAGCGTGGTCCAGAGAAGATAACCCAGTACCCTGTCCAGCCAAATTTTAAAATTGCCCAGCATTAGGAAATCCACTGCTTCTCTTGGGACATTATTCCAATGGCTAATGGTTCTCATTGTTAAAAACTTTACATCCCACAGAAGATGAGTTAGCKGAGGAACTCAAAAAATACAGAAAATTATACCATCCTTTGCCCACTCTTACCTTCTTCTCACAATTCAGCAGTCAAAGACTGCTTTAAGCAAAATTTCAGTCAGCATTTTCCTAAACATGYCATTTTATCACCTTAAATCTTGTTGAGATGCTAACAGTACAGCCTTTATAGACAATTTTTATAAGATCAATGATAATTTTCAAAAAGCAGACTGCATTTTCTGATACCTAGGCTGTTACTCCTGGAGAAATAAGGTCTCCAGTGAGATGCTAACTGCTTTGTTACAACCCATTAAAAAAAYATGAAGATAGACATTTAAAAACATATACTATTTAAATATTCCAAATAGATTAAATTACTAAAGCACTTTACCACTTTACAGAAAACAACTTGAAAATTAAGCTTTTTAAACAGGTCTTAGAACACTCTTTAAAAGACACATTAAACCACATTCAGCCATACTGAAACTAGGCAATGGATATGCTAAGAAGTCTTTGTAGTCTTTTCTCATCATTTGTTACACTACAACAGGAAACAACCTGGAAAACAAATTATGTTTGCAGAATGATGTATGAATGATTTCATACATTTATTTTTTAGCAATTGAGCTTATATTATTCTGCTCAGTAGGAGTTTTGCCCAGGGACAGTTATGGGGAAGGTCACTTTTGTTTTACCTTCAGTAATATCTGGGATTTGGCCAAGTCCTTTTCACATACCTCAAGCACACAACCTCCAGGTGAAGTGACAAAGGTGCTGTTTTTACAGCATCTGTGGTTTTTCCATGTGTGCTGCTTTCTATGGAGTCAACCGAGCATCTGAGAATCTCAATACTCAGTATATCTGGAAAACAAGGGCACCTTCCAAGACTATCACAGGTTCCTTAATACTCTCAAGAGAGTATTACCCAAAGTGATGACTGAAAGACCCTCTCAAGTATTTGAAAACTAGAATGAATACCTATTTGTTATGAGCTCTGTACAAGAGGCTGAACTTGACTTTTATTAGCCACGCTCATTAGTACACTTCACAATTAAACAATGACTAACAGAACAACTGCCCTAACGAAAATTAATTATCTGGAGCAAGTGCAAGTCCTCAAGAAAGGAAGTCTTTTACAGCAGAATTCAGTGAAGAAAGTAACTCAAATATAAAGACAGTAAAACAAGTTTATTCTGTTTAATTCAGTAATTTCAATAGAAGCAGAGCATGTGCAAACAGGGATATTCCACATTTTACTATAAAGACAATAGGCCAATACAATGGGTACAAGCCCATACATTCTATTGGTTCTACCCAAGCGATAAAAATCTACATCTGCTGCAAAATTTTATAAGAGGCACAGACCTCCTATTCCTAAATATTTCACATATTCAGAGCAGGAAGTTTTATTTAGGCACACACACATTAACCCGCTACCATACAGAAGTTTATCCCGTGTTTGAAACCACCCAAGCACCTGTTGCATCCATATCATCACCTTACAGAGAACCATTTCTATCTCCTATCTGGGTTTTCCAGCAATCCTTGCACGATGTTCCCACGTGCCCTTGCACCCCTGCCCGTCGGCAGAAGCCGGGAACACAGCAGCACATCCATCGGCACCAATGCCATGTGAGTGCACGGCATTCGTGTCTTGCCAAAAAGGCTTCATAGGTCGTGCTGTGAGGCTGAGGAGCGCCCTAAAAATGAGGACTCCGCTGATATAAACAGCCCGCTGGACTAACCAAGGACTTCCAAATGCCAAGCATTTAAAACCAACTGAATTAGACTCGGATGCTTTTCTATCATTGCAGCAGCAATATGGTTCATTTCTGTAATAAGGCTTGGACTACTTATGAAACTCTTTTCTGTTATTTATGACACTTTTAAAGCAGCGTTTCGAACGAGGACCGATTCTACAGCAAAGTTAGTTTCGCCGGCACTTCAACTGCTGAGAACCTGGTGACCACGAAGCGAGGACAAGGAGGACGCGCGGCTGCCCGGCAGCGGGCCCCGGCAGACCCCGACCCCCGGCGCTCGCCCTGCCCGCCCCGGCCCCGGCCCCAGCACTTACGGTGAGGCTGCCGGCGGCGGGGCGCTCCTCCGGCAGGGCCGAGTCCAGCGAGAAGCCCCTGCGCGCCCAGTACTTGCTGGAGAACATCATCATGGCGGGCTGCATGGGGCCGGCGGCGGGCGGGGGGCAGCGCCGCGCTCTGCCCGCCTCGCCCGCCACCGCTCCTTTTATACGCCCCCGCCGAGGCTGATGGAAGCACGATTAGGGGACACCCGTCTCCGGGTGACGAGAGCCGCTGGCAGGCGGACGCCCACGGTCCCCGCTCACCTCAGCCGCCGGGGCGGGACGGCGCAGCACGGAGAGCGATCCCGCCGCCTCACACCGGGGGCAGCCCCGAGAAGCTGTGCCGGCAGCAGCCGCGCAGGTCCCGCTCCGGGCGGTGCCCCCGCCCTCCCCTCACCCCCGCGGGGCCGCTCCGGGCGGTGCCCCCGCCCTCCCCTCACCCCCGCGGGGCCGCTCCGGGCGGTGCCCCCGCCCGCCCCTCACCCCTGCGGGGCAGCTCCGCTCCGGTCCCGCCCGGCCCGAGCCGCACGGCCGGCCCGCCCTCTGCCTCCACCGCGGCACCCCGGGGCCGGGCACAGCGGGGCAAGGCAGAGACCACAGCTCAGGGGTGCTGAGAGAGCACGGCAGAGAACTGCAGGAGCTGCGGAGAGAGCACGGCAGAGAACTGCAGGAGCTGACCTTCAGCACAGGGGAGTTGTGCAGAGATAGAGAGAAATTAATGTCTCCCCGTTTAAGTGAGCAGAAGGCAACTGCTGAAACAATAACTTGACAGCAGGGTTAAAGGTACTCCATCTCTCAAATTTAGTCGTGAAATTCAGGATTTCTAGCTTGTCTTTCGTTGCGACATTCATTTTGTGACCTGCCACCATCACTTGCAATCCGACTRTCTCCTCCCTTTCATTTTCCAAAACTTCTCCACCATATCCTTTGAATACATAGGTTACCTTAGAGCGTGTAGCACTGAATAGCCCATCTGAAATGGAAGCACTATGTCAGTTTCCTTCAAATACATAAACAGTTTTCCCTGTTCCAACACACCAGACGGGGAAACTGACACCAATTCCCCTTGAAAAGCACCATCGGTGACTCCCCTGAGCCTCCCGAAAGAGGGTCGAGCTAGCCSAATCCAACAGCGGGCTTCACATGGCCTTAACTCGGTATACTCACAGATCACASGGACTGAGAAGAGCAAGCTGAAATCAGATCGACTGAAGGCGGGACACYGAGCAGGGAGCTGCACAAAGGCAAGTAAAAGAAAGTACTAAGATCATGTCACATCTTACTCAGCTGCAGACTGCCTCCGTCCACAGACTCAAAGCCTTCACTCTCGAAAGGCTCCGCACTTTGTAAGTGTAATTGATACGTCAGAATCACCATGGAATTAGTCTTGCTCTTCTGCAAGACCAACACGGAAGAATAGAAAATTTGAGGTTTTTGCTCACACAGAGCATGATGGAATCATATTTTATCACAATGAAGGAAAACCAGCAAAATCTTCCAGTCTAAACTGGCTGCTGTCAGACAGATGCTCCCCTTCTTAAAATCGATGGTCATACTGGATATTCAGGACCAGGACAGGTTCACCGCTGCCTCAGAACTTGTGAGAGRTTTGATATAAACCCTTTTACACTCACTTGTCCAGAGTTTCCCAGGTGTAACATGTAAGAAGGATCCTTTATTCTTGTTGGCAGTAAGTTTGTAATAGAATTTGGTTCCTAAACCTGCTCCTTTAATGCAGATCAATCATTTTYGTTACACTAGCCCACAAACTTTTCCCAGTCAGAGAAGAGCATGCCTACACATATTATTAGCTCAGYCTCATATCCTAAGTTATCAAGAGATATTCCCTGTCCTGTTTTTTCATTATTTTTGATGATAAGAAAATAAGTTGGCATCTTTGGACTTTGATATTCCTACCTGCTGTGCACGAGATACATAGACACTGTTCCTGCAGTTGAACAATTTATGAGTGAGTGAGGTTGTTTAGCACTTTCCAAATGCTCCAGTGACAAAACCGAGCACTACTGAGCTGTCTTTTTCACCTACAGGCATGACAGAGCATGATTCTATCTGCTGTTAGATCCTGGCCCTGCAGCTGGGACATCACAAAAATCAAAGACCCTACTGCTTGGTAGCCTTATTATTGTTGCACATCTGTGTGCAGTAACCAGAGCACAGCAAAGGTTTTGTCTCTCATAACCTCTTCAGCATGGCTCACGAAAGCAAAACAAACCAAGGCACATTGTGTCAGCAGGTGTTAATAACAGCCTGGAGGATTCAAGGGCTTCAACTATTTTAACTATGCTGTCTGCCTWTGTGTTCCGCAGAGAGATTGCTTCTTCCTAGAAAGGAAGTTCTTTGGCAATTTGTATTTTGCGGGTGGACTTTGCTGTATCAGTGCCAGATCAAATGACATTTATGAAAATATTTATTTCTTCTTTGTACAGCTGCTGTATAACAGAGATGGTGTTTGGCTCTGGGAATATTTCTAAAATACAAATTTTGTGTAGAGCTCAACTCATTTTTCTATAGTTCACAGTGCAGTATATTTAGACAAAGTGAAGTCCTAAAATCAGTGACAAAAAAATTAGAAATTCATTGAAGCACCTATTCAAAAATACCTGTTCTAGAGCATAGATCTAGAATCTGTGTGGGTGCCACATAGCAATGTTATTTCACCATAGTAAGAAATGGATAAGCTTACTTTTGTTACTAAAGAGTACCTTATTGCCTCAGATAATAATCAGAATTCAGAAACTGCAAGGTCCTCTTTACATATACTTCTTTCCCTCTCATGAGAGAGCAGTCACCATTACCTGAAATCCTTAGCTGTGCACTTTCTAAGCTTAAAAAAATGCAAAACTCTCAAGTGAAAATTTAAATCTAAAGAAAATGTATGAATGTTTTCAATGTTTGAGTCATGTTCCCCCTGCTAGAGATACCAACTGCCAGTTTCAGCATAGTTTTCCTTAAAGCTATTTGTAATATTTAATGTAGTTTGATTTAAGTGGAGGATAAAATTCACAGTGCAGAGCAGCTTGTATTGATCAAGAAACTATCTGAATTTACCTCTGGCTCTCCTAACTCATCCCCAAGTCTTTGTCTAGGGGCATACTACAGCAGGAAGGAGAACTCAAAAGGCATCATGTGGCAGAACAGAGAAAGAAATGAAGCTACAAAAAGCTATCAAAAAGCATGAAGTCCTAATACCTTTTCAAATCACTTTTTTTGTTGGTAAAACCATGACTTTGTGAAACGATTGAYAAGTGGATGAACCAAAGTAGCTTTTTCAACAAGGAAAGAAAGACGTACAATCTGTTTGTGTTTATCAGAGATGCACACACCAACTCCAAASTCCGTTTCTCTGAGAGATGTAGTTCTGCTGAAAAATCTACTATGACAATGTACACTTAATTTTTAAGTCAAGAAGGTTTGGGAAGCATGAGTTTTCAAGCAACCAGCAAAACCACCCCAAGTTCTTGTAGCACTTGTAAGGGGATTTTAGCCAACTAATAACCATTGGGCAAGGATATCTATCAAATGTTGGACTGGCTAGGAAGGTCTGGGAATACGGATGACATGATGAACATAAAGTCAATTCACAGTCTTCAGCAAAGGAAAGGTTCTGAGAAGGATGTAGAAAATTACAATTTCAGAAAAAAAAAAAAAAAGGATTTCAATAAATTCAGTTATTACAAGCACTAAGGAGCAGGAACCTAGAGCAGAAATACAGTTCTTTCCTTGCTTTGGGGAAGAGATCATTTCTTCAGGAAACTGTTACATTATAGTGGAAATATGGTCTTCTACTACAGTTTTACTAGTAGTAGCATAAGTCATTAGTTTGTCATTACCTTTAATTCAAAAGAGGAGCTTACAGGAGATCGAAACTAGGACCAAGCTACCAAATGCAGGCAGAATAACACAAAGATGAAGGCTGTGGTATAAAATTCAAAAAGTCATTAGTACAGAACATCAAAAGCAACTTTTTAAAAAATTAATAGAGCAGCAGCTGGAAAAACTGTACTATCAGACCACTGAATATAATGAAAGGACAAAACAGAAAAAAAAAAAACCCTTAAAATTAGCTAGGTATTTAATGCACTTTGAAGAATCAAGTGTGACCAAATGTCTATCATAACTAATAGCAAGGGCAGAGAGATAAGCTCTTTGCTTTTAACAAGGTAAAACAATGTTAGAGAATACTTGTGATGAGTCTGATCATAGCAAATGAGAGCACAGAAACCACACTAACAAAGCAAGCTCATTAAACCTCTGCCATTAATAACTGCTTTAAGAACTCAGGGGAAGAACAAGTGACAAAAGACTGGGAACAGGCCAAAATTATGTCAGTGTCCAAGAAGATAACAAGGAAGAAGGGCTGAAGAATTATGGACCAGTCTAATCTCATTTGTTTAAGAAAACAGAAGTATCAAAATTATTTGTAAAGATCCAGAAGATAACAGATGATTAAACAGTCAAGACAGATTTGCTGAGAAAAAATGGTGYTAAGCAAATTTCATTTCCTCTTATGACAGTCCTGTGGACCAAGGCTAAACAATACACRTCATTCATCTTGCTGGTACAGAAGCACTTGGCATAGTCTCTCATAACATTCTCATGAGAGATAMGGGAAACAGGTACAGATGGAAGTAACAGATTGTACCAAGGGATGGGGTTGCTGATAAATGGAGGGGTGCAGAGAACAGGATAGCCTTAGGTACCCACCCTCACTCCTATACTATTTAATAAAAGCCTCCCATGAGGCCCTAGAGCACAGCTGTAAATTTCCAGACTGTACTTACCTCAAAAATGCTGTAATGATTACAAAATTTAAACAGATGCTGGGGCACAGAGGGCTGCTTACAGGTAACCAGATCAACAGCGCAATCACCAGGGAAGGCAGACCTCGTGTGAGGGGAGTCAGAGGTTACACAAAATCTCCAGCTGCGTGCAATCACTACATYTGCTCTGCAAGTCCACAAAACACCTGGAAATTGTTTGCAGGATCTACAGGGTATCCTTGCAAACAGATGAGACAGGCATCTAACACAAGACAGACATGCCTTCCAACAGAGATACTGTAGCTAAKTAATTATTAACAAGCTTTTAAAAGTGACTTCCAGTGTTACAAATCTGGAATTTTAACAAACTTGCTGTATGCATATATACAGGTGTTCACTACATAATGAAAAAAAAAATGTGATATGATTGATCTGGCTAAGATAATTTAAGTCTGAAATTTATCAGCTCCTTTATGTTGTTCACCATATGTTGCACAAATTAATTGTAACAGCATAAAAGGTGTAGCGGCCCAGGGCAGATTACAAAGAATCARTATTTCCACTTCTCATCACGTTAGTTGTTACTGTGTTGCTTGAGGAATTATCAAGTCCCTGAAACTAAAAGCTTAGACTTTAAAGATTTTCTTGCTCTCCACCATTACTTACTTYAACAGTAAAACCAAAGGAGTGTGTGGAAGCTTTCCAAGACCAATGCCCAAAGGTGGCATGCACTGATGGACCCTGAAGGTCATCTGGATCAATTAATACACTAAGAGTGTGTTCTAGTGTTTCATCTCACTGAGTTACAGCAAGCAAAAGAGAACATTTGGGTATTAGCTGCTTGCATACAATCAACTATTTTTTGCACCAGCTCTAGATGGGTGCTTAAACATGATCTCAGACACCATCAAGCATGGTTTGGCTGTCATCACACCCAAAGGGGTCAGGCTGGGATGGAGTTCACTTTCCCCATGGTAGCCCATATGGCGATTGGGTTTGTGCCTGGGTCAGTGTTGGTAACACACCAGGGTTTCAGCTGCTGCTGAACACTACACAACACTGAGGTTCTCTGGCTGCTTCCCAGGCGTGGCCATGGGCCTGCGAGCAGTCATCCAGGACAGCTGACCCAAACTGACCAAAGGCACGTTCCATACCACATGCCATTGTGTTCTGTAATAAAAGTTCAGTGAAAGGAGAGAGCAGGAACATTCATGGTCATGACGTTATCTTTCCAACGATCCTGTGGTGAGGTGCTGCTCTCCAGGTGCCTGGACACCTGCCTGCTGATGGGCAGCAGTGCACGAAATCCTCTTTGTGCTTTGCCTGCGGGAGCAGCATTTGCTTTTCCTGTTAAAATGTCCTTGCCTCAGTCCATGAACCTTCTTGCCTTCCATTTTCTCCCAATCCCATGGGAGAGGGGAATAGGAAAGCGGCTGTGTGGGTGCTTGGCTGCTGGCCAGGGTCAAATACAACACTCCAAGAGGAAACAAGTGGCCACTTTTGGCTGAACTGCTGTAGCCTAGGCAGCAGTTTCAGCTCTACACGATGGGGCTCTGCAGGGAGTTGGTTAGTAACAAGGTTCACCTGTAGAAAGAGTCAAAGAGCTAATGTTAAGGTAGGGCATGCATGCCCTGTATAACCAAAATGTATACTGTAATTGAATTCTTTCAAAACAAAACCCATCTAGAAGATTTCATTTATTTGAATTACATAGACAGTTTGAAATATATATTTGATTCAACTGTGAAATTCATTTTGGGTGAGGCAAAAAGTGACATCCTACAATATGTTTTGTTTGCAATTCATCAGAAAAATTTGATTTGTGCCAAATATACAGTGATTTACCATAAAAAAAAGAGCACACATTCTCTGAAAATGTTTAAGAATAAAATCCTGACTTGAATGAAAATCAGATTCAAGCCTAGTTTATACAAGGCCTGCAAAGCAATATCACTTAATTGAATAGTACATTTTGAAGTCCCACTAAACATGAAGCATAACTTACCTTTCAACATCATAAAAAAATCTCCCAAAACCATTTGAAAGCACCTTCAAATCAAATATAGTATCACACATATATGAAATCTGTCTGTTAAGTGCTCAGTTATGTATCTGTGTCTCATCACATTACTGGTGCTCATATACAAACCTCATAGTCATGTCAGCTACGGAGTTAGTTAGACATAATTGCACAGACAGAACCAAGATCTGCTTTCAACCCAGCCACCATGAAGCAGCTCATGGAATTGTTCTTGTAAGAACAAGCACTGACTTCTCTCACCATGGTTCTTTCACATAGAGATGGCACCAGGCACTAAATACTCAGAAAAAACATACGACTGATTTGATAAATATATTTTAAGATATTTAGCCAACCACAGGTAAAACTTTTTTCATTCTTCTGCAGCCCAAAGACAAAACTTCAGTTTTAAGTTGTGTCAGTGCAAGAATATTGACTAAAATTGAGTCTGAGGAATAGTTAATACATTTGCTGAACAAATTGTTAATTCTGTACTCAGCTCACTTAATTGCTTTTTTCCAACACTAGCCATGCTAGTGGAATGAAAACAAGTTCATAATCCAAATTCTGAATGCTAACTTATTTCCAATAATTTTTTATTTTTTTTTTTAAGTTTGGAAAGTGTCTTGTAACAGAAAATTATTTAGACAAGTGAGGCACAAATACCTCACATATTCTGAACTAAAATATCTCAAAAAGTGGAAGCTAGAAGAACAATTCTTACAGGTTTCTGAAAAGTTTCATCAGTGGAGCTTTAAGTCGATGGTCAAGAATGTATTTGAAAGTAATGAGGAAACCAGTTCCTTCTTGTTTGGCTGATGGAGGCCAAGGAATTTTATCGAGTGATGTGTGAGTTAAAACTGAAGAGAATGAGGCACCATCAGCATTTTAAAATTGTCCACTAGAAAAATTTAAAGATTTTAAGAAAAATCTTGTTAGTAAGAAAACTRGACTCTGTTGAACATTAACACCTTAATTTGAATTAAACAGAATAAAATACCCTCAAGAATGTACTTTCAAAACAAGTAAAATTGTCCAACCAGGCAAAATGAGAAAAGTCTGTTTTAAAAGAACTACATACATGTAATTTTTACCTTTGAACAGGTAACACTGGAAAACTGCTAAGACTGATAAGTATGATGCTTTAAACCTCACCCYGAGAAGACAATTATCTCCAAGTCAAGCATTAAAATCAAAACAGGTTTGCAGGAATTAAACAAGTATTGCCTCTTTTATGGCGTGAAAGCTGTAACCAAAACTGTGTTCAGAGCTACTTCATATTTACATATTTATTAATTATAACCAATCTAAATCATTCACATACAAAAGAAATTAGGCATCCTGAATCTTCAACCCACAGCATTTCACGGCATTTCAGCCATCATGATCCTGATTAAGACCTCTCACAGTGTTTTTGTAGTCTCCAGAAACTAAATCCACCTCTAACAATCCAGAATAGTTTGGTGGAGCATGAGGCTCCTCCTGCAACTCTTTGCAAGGCTGCCTGTCAGCAGGAAAGAAACTACAGATAATGAAAGTTGCAAGGGGCCTTTGATCTTATTGCTGTGAAGCTGAGCTCCACAGCAGCTGCTCAGTGCTAGTTCATGAACAACCTTCTCATCCTTGACATTCAAGTGCTTAATACAAAGGGAAAAGTTGAACAATTACACTCAAAGAGTAAATGCAAACTTTAAAGGCTAGTAGATTTTCTCAACAGCCATAGCTGTAAATCTAAGAAATGACAGTATTAAATATGTTTTTCTTAAATATTTGAATATTCATGTTTAGCCAGTTAGGTGTTCAGTATCTTAGTATCTTGCATACAGTTTTTTGCAGCTGCACATCCTGAATAACTAAGAACCATGCATATTTAACTGACAGGTTGCCCACTGCATTTCTGTTGAAGACATTTCCCTCCTCCCTCATTTCGTTTAACATAATTTTTGATAAAAAACATTTTGCAAGTACACTTCAAAGTGAATTAGGTACTCCAAAATATACTGAAACTAACTTGCTTAATATCTTTGAACCAAAGTATTGAACATCTAAGTTCTAATGCCTTTCTGTATTCTATGTCACATTAAATTAGCTACCAAGAAGTACAATGCCCACCAGGGAACAAAGGCATGATGCTTCACAGTAATATCCTGGGCAGGAAATGAAAGGCTACAGATAACGCTGAGCTATGAATCCTTGACTTTCACCACATATGACTCAAGTTCTTATTAACTGATGAGAGATAGCACATTGACGATATTAAAACCAAAATCTGCACTGATTCAGCTGTCCAGTGTTTGTTCCCAACTGGTGAGAGAACTTGAATCGACTCCCAAATTATTTTAACAACTTGATTTATCTATTAAAGCCTTTTGTATTACTTGTATTTGCTGAAGATGGCACAAATAATATTTGTAAAAGTAAACTGCTCCAGAAGAAAGCTCCGCCATATCCCACACTTCCACCACCTAGAGAGGAAAGGCATGTTCCACTCTGTAGTAACAAGCAATACTCCCAGAGCCTTCACTACCCACRAAATATGTCATATCCATGGACTAACCAATAGCTCTCCCCTCCATCTCACRTTCTTACATCAACAACCAGACAACTAGATTTTTTTCTCTAAATATGATTTAATTAAAAACACTAAATCAGCTTTGACTTTTATTTTATATATGTACAATAGTTACCAAATAATGAATACACTTAATCAGTTATGTTAAATTCACATAACGTCAAAGGACATCAGCATGGCATGAAATAAACTCACTGCCTTTTGGAGATACAAAATAATGCATTAATGTTAATTGTGATTACTATTTTCGTGTGTGGTTTGTTGGTTGGCTTTTTTATAACCTGCTTATTAATTCTCCAAAYAATGTTGCCATAAAACAGTGTAAGTAGTTAATTGATCAGTTAATATATTAGCAAATACAAACATTAGTAAAGTTTGCAAGATATCAATTGCAAAATTACATCCAGGTGTAGGACTGAATGTATTCACATGAAAGTTACCTTCAGTTAGAAAAGTTTTGAAAAAGAGCCCAGGTTGGAGCTGTGCATTAATTTGGTCAAACTGGTGCATATGAATGAACAGTCAAGTTTATTCAGATATTGAAAATATGACTATCATTTTTAGTATTCACAAACATTTGTTTATATAGTGTGTGTATATAGTGTGTGTGTAAATATATATATGTATATATAAAGTGAAGATATGTTAATGTAAAAATATACTGTTCATCCACTCCCAATTACACAAAATTCAATATTTGGACATTAAACTGTGCAAGTATGAATGTCCATTTCAAATCTACATTCAACCAGCAACAAATACTTAGAAGTATTTTTGTAAACATTTGAGACAGGGAAAATCCATTTACAAAAGAATCCTCTTTTAGCACATCAGCATCACTTCAGCTGGAAAATTTGTACAGCAGCTTCAGCTGGCATAATGTGAATCTGCTCAAATCAAAGAGCTCACACTGTCTTAGATCAATATGTGTGAAAGCTCAGCAAATGCAGAATTTTCAAATTCATTCTTAATCACCACCCATTTCCAGTTTACCAGCAAAAAGAAAATGCACTTAGCTACAAAAATATTAAGGAATGTTATTGAAAACAAAAGGCTATTTTGGTAGAAGAAACTACAAAAATAGTTGAGTCATGTTGTAAAGCTTTAATGCAAGAGCATTACAGTACAGATTTTCTTTACAACCTTAAAGCTTAATCAACATCAAATTTAAATATCCATCTCTCGAGTGCTWGAAAAAAAACGTGCTCAGTAAAAGTCTTTCTCCAATGTGACCAACTGTAATTACGCAGGTGCCAGGCTCTGCCTCTCAGACATCTGTTGAGCACCGTCGCGTGTCCCATTGGCAGCGATTACAGGTGTTGAGATATTCTGATACAACGTCGGACAACCCAACTCAGCTCCACTTTCATCCTCTCCAGTATCTGAATCCGGTGTTACTGAACTGGTCTCTATCCCCAGAATCTCACTAACTGCTTGAGGCAATTCCTAGAAAGGAGGTGGCAAAGGAAATATTAAAAACCACTGTAATTAAATGCAAAAAGGTAACAACCAAGTTCCCCTCTGTCCATCCTGCATTCCCTGTACTCATTCATCTGAGCAATCATTCATCTGAATTTACCTGTACTGAAAGCATCTCTCTCAGCATTACTTGCATTAGAATTACCATTTTCTGTTGCTGCTTTTTAAAAAATCAGCAAAGGGAACACACTCAGGAATCAATTCCCGATTAACAATATAATCTTCATAAAAAAATTAAAGTCTAATCCATTATTACAATTACACTTCGAGTTACTGAAATTAGTTTTATTAAGTGACTAACTAGTTTTTGCCTAGTAAGCCTGGCATGCTTTCAGTGCAATGCACCTTTCAACTCAGTTTCCTCAAGCACACTGAACATCAAATTACTTGGATTGAGGTTATCTAGTGAGAGTTGAGAAATCATAACCAAAAGGCACAATTCAGTTTTCCCTCAATGAATAGTATTACTCTATAAAATCACTCTTGCTTACACTTACAGACTTTTAGAACATAGGCACTGCATAGCTACACAACATGCTTTACTGTATCCAGGCATTTCGTTATTTCATAGTCATACTTGAAGACTTACAGCTAACCACATACTTCTACTGTCTATAAACATTCACAGTAGATATAGTCAAAATATCTTTACCTTGCAATTCATCATCTGCATAGAAATTGCTTCTGCTTTGCAGAGTATATACTCCACATCAATTTTCATAGACARTTCATTGATATGCTAAAAATAGATTCACAAGCAATAGTGAGATAAAGTAACTTTTACCCAAGTCACACTAATACTGTACAGCACTGCTAATAAGGATCACCTTATAAGCCTTAAGCTATGAAATCACCCCTTAAGCTATGAAATGCTAGACACAGTCTATTAGCTTTGAGAAATGGCTACTCAAAGATACAGTATGCAACAGCTGTCTTTCAMCAGCATCCAAGGTCTGCAATAGGAATTCATGGTACCTCTAAATGTGACAAAGTATCTAGCCCTTCTATGTACTTCCCCCAGCAGTTCACATTTTCAGAGATGATAAAGAGATCATAGAAGAAAAAGCAAAAGTTATTATTAAATATACTAAGCAGTAGTCTGAGGGTAGAACCCTTTTTGATCTATTAAGGATCTTATTAAATGCAGACATCCAATAATAAGCCATTTTGAAAGCCTGCAGGATAGACATTCAGCTGACATTCCACCTTCAGAAGACAGTAGGCACCTTTCCTCCCCCAACAAAAACCACAATAATATTCTATTAATTTCAAAAAGTTAACTAATATTTAATATCCAAAAGACATCTACATACTAGCCACTAGGAAGACAATTAAGTCTACTGCAGCCAAAACTAGCACAATAATGCATAAGAATTTGGTACCTTTAATATTTCATTAAAGCCATAGTGCTTGTCCATTATTTGCTGTTTTTCAGATTCTAGGATAGCACAACAAAGGAGAAGATGAAAATTCTGACAAGGCAGTTCCGTCCACATGACCTGTTCAAACAAAAATCCCACATTAGAAATACTTACGTTTCTTCTGAAAAGTAGTTCTTAGAAAATAAGTCCTCCAGCCAAACCAGTGAACTAACAATAAGCTGTTTTTGAAAGCAACTAAGTATTTACACAATTATTTTCAATTTTACTTCTTGCCCTTTAGTAACAACTGCAAGTCTGAGTCACCAAATGCTTACCTGGTTCTTAAGACATTGTCCACTATAATGCTACTAAGCTGCTTGAGCTTGTGGTCCTGTGAATGTGTGTTCTGCCTCAGCTCATGTGAAACAGAAGTACCTAAAACTAACAAATTATTTATGTGGCTTAGTCTGTCTGCATTGAGTGTGAATTGGCAGAAGTGTGTCATGCTCTGCAATACCTTCAAAAGTTTCTAATGGTTATAAATAAGGAGCTGAAGTTGTTCCCAATCTCCCCACCACAAGAACATAAAGACATGTACATGTAGGTACTGAGAATGGGTGGGTACTGCTTTCTCACTGAAGATACATCGGCTTTTGGTYGCATGGAGGACACAATTGATCATTGTTGAGTTCACTGGTATTGAAATGTGCAACTTCAGTTGCAACCTTGCTAATACACTATTTTAGTACATTCAGGAAAATCTTTAACAGAAAAGTATTTGAGAAGAACATGTGTGGTGGATAGCAAGCTGAAGAACAGGTATGCCAACATAAACAGAAAGAAGCAAAAACCTGCTTGTACAAATTGCCCTGACAGATAAAGAGACTTAAAACAATGGATTTACTCTCAAAAAAGGCAGGTAAGAAACCAGAGTCCTGAAAATTCATTACTTCATTAGCAAAAAAACTTTTTCATCATAATTGAAGGAACAGAGCCTTAAAAAGCTAGCAAGAGGTCATACTTGAACTTTCATCACTAGTACATGAAACCTGTAAACATAATTGCATAAATCCCAAGCATATCCAAACCAAGTTCACTCAAAATCAGGTGCAACTAATCTTAAATGTTTCAATTAAGATTCAGAAATTAAATTTAGCATCTTTTTCAGACAACCAATATTCTGTATAAGCATTCTCTCACTCCAGGAAAAAGACCACAATGCAAATAGGCTGATAAAAAATAACAGTTAAACGAAAATGCCTATAATCTACCAATCACAGTCTGTCTACACACTGTTGTGTTTTTCCACTCCTACTTCCTAAGAAGGACGTATTGCAAGTTGTGCATTGATGTGGTTCAACATCAAGTTGCTGAAAAAAAAATTCCATACATTTTACTACTATTTTGGATAAACCCTTCAAAGTCTGGAGCAGAGCATGCACTTAAGGTTATGTATATAAATGCATAACAGCAGGATCACAGCATGCTGAAAGGATGGAAGAAAAGCAGCATTTAAATTCTAAGTATAAAAGTAAAAATATAATTAATAGAAAAATCAGGAGCAATAACTCTTTTTTTCTTATTTCTTTCTGATAAAGCTATAGAAGTAAGGACTCATTTGGTTAAATGTTACTTCAGCAGTTCCGAATAGTTGTAACCAAGGTACGTGAAGTAACTTATTCCCAACTTAGTTCTTGTTTTATGCTATGAGAGCRGTACTAGAATAACACTGGAGCTAGGTGTGAGTTACTTGTAATTTTGTTATTTTCCTTCTGGGTTTCTTCTAAGCAACCCACTATGMAAACAAAAGGTTAAGAACTGGCTGGAATTACTAGGTGATACTGCCTGTCTCTCCAGTGTCAACGAGGGAGTGAACTACTCTCAATTTCGAGCCAGCTAAGCAGTGGCTCAGTAGGCTGTCTTATCTGGCCCGAGTCTGAGAGGCACTGCTGAAATGTGCTGTAAGTTAACCCATCCACAGAGCAGTTCAACCCATACTCACATTTCTGTAAAAAGGCATTGCATGTAACATTGCAAGTAACTGCACTCACATAACACATCTCAGCTTACCCACACAAGGTGGAATGTCACCTCTATATCACATGCAACTCTGTCACAGAGCAATGATACAACCATCCACATTTTGTACCACAGTCTGATAATAGCTCTTCCTCAGGAAGTGCATAGGCTTGGAGTTAGCCTCTATTCCAGCAGATGAGCACTGGTATCTCCTATCTCCAAGGTGAATGGAGATGGGAGAAACCAGACTAGAAGAATATTTCTCATTCCTTTGTGTTAAAACACTGGAAGTCATGAAGTCAGTGGGAATAGGGAGAAAGTGCCTGATGCTAACTTTTGTGGTTCATGAGTCAGAGGATAGAAATAAAAATCAGTAAGAACACCTTGAGATCAGATTAGACAAAAAAACAGATTAGACAAAATCTAATCTGTGTAAACAGATTAGACAAAAAAGCCCCAGAAATCCTGGAACTGGAATCGCAGATGGTACCTCCCCTTCTTCCCATTCAATGCTCTGCAAATGAGTATGTCACAGGGTAATATTGCCATCAAATGGATTTCCCTCAATTCATGTTCTAATACAAAACAACACATGAGGTTTGCAAAGCCAAATACCAAAAAAAGCAGTTAATTTCTCTCTAAAGGGAAGCASTCTCCTGTGCCTATAGCTTGCCTTTGTAAATCCCACTTCAGTGATACCAGTGGAGCTGCATGGCTATGCGCAGGAAAAAAAAAATCCACTGTAAACTGGACTTCAACTGTGATCAAGGTGACACTGGCCTTTGCATAAAAACATCAACATAATACCTTAATTACTTTCTTTTAAAAAGAACAAGATTCTCCCTTTCCCATTCCATATTTCCTAGCAAAGAAATTGAATACTTGTAGTAAACATACATTATGGTGTGCTAGAAGGAGCCTACAAGACTATCATATATCAATAGGTTTCCATCGTCTTCCAAAGACAGAAAAAAAAAACACTTGAGAGAGAAATATGGTGTGTTTCTTTTCTGTATGCACACACAGACACACATTAAAGCAGAGGTGATAAAAACATGCTAGCCTGGGACTATAAACTATAAATAAAAATACTGCTGTCATAAACTTAAAAAGAAAAATTATTCTTTAAAAAAAATACTGAGAAGACAACATAATACTGGGGGGAAGAGATGAGTGCATCTCCCCTTCCAAATCATTCTCATTTATAACTGGCACTAACAGAATTCTGGTTTTGTACATATTGGTTTCCTTATTTATGAATGCTATCCATAAGCTTTTTTGTCCTCTCAKTAAAATATTACCTCAATACTCTAAGATAGTAAATTCTACCAACGTATGATAAAAAAGCTAAATATATTTACTTTAGACAGTTTTAAATACTGGTCCTCTTCTTTATGTGACTCCTTTTTCATTAGTGGAAAAAGTGAATAAAAGCATCAACATGATTTTTCATTATACACAACCTTTATGCATCTCAGCCCTGTTCATTACTATTCTGTTCCCCAACACATGTGATGTTATGTCCTAGAAAATAATCCCTCCATTCATCTGAACATTCATTCTCAACCTCTGAGTTTTCAGTGAATACTGTGCCCTTGTTAACTGCATCTTGGACAATAAACCTGTACTGTTGACACACTTCTCAATTTTGTTGGAAGAGAAGAATTAAAGACAAAAATATCAGTTAATTATAATTATTCCATGTGATCCCAACATCATCTAAATCAAAAAAAAAMCCTCATTAACCCAGAAGTATCAGAACTTCAACAATTGATGTTTTACATTATGCTTTTTGGCATCACAAGGTCTTATCAAGATTAATGATCTTTTGACATAATCCTCCTCATGGTTTTGGTGAATAKGGTGAACCCTGACAGTGCTTCATTCCACTTAATCTACATAGAATTACCAATATCAAGGAATTAAACAAACACACACACAAATGCTTTCTTCTACCATGAACTGTTTTCCATTAACAGTTAATTGGTACTCCCCACTTACTACTTTCACTTAAGAGTCTCAGAAGAAGGCTCCTGTCCAAATCTTTTTGCAAAAGCCAATTTATCCAAATCAGCTCTAGTAAGTATTTTTTTCATTAACTTCTCAGGTTGTTCTTCAGGCTAGAAGGACCTAAGAAATGGTCACTTGTCCTCAGATCATTGCACTAACTATTCTTTTTCCTTTTTTAATTTATCAGAGTATTAAACACTTTGCAAAATGATCCATGCTTTTCGTTCTAAAGTCCAAAAACTGCTGGAGTTTGTCTGATTAAATATTTCCTTACCTCCCAGAGTCGAAGAATATCTTGAAAGCTAAATTCCCTTTTAAATCTGATAAGAAGCCACCGGAAGCAAAAATAAAGGTAGCCTGAGTCTTGAGATTCTAGGAATAAGAATGTGACATTTCAGAAGCAGCACATTTGGTTCAGATAATAGGTGAAAAAAAAAACCAAAACCACCCACACTTTACAGGTACACAYTCATACCACTAATGTTTAAGACAGCAGCCCCTTTTCAGAATCAAAGATACTTGTCAGAGAATGGCGTATTTTTTTTAAATGGCAACAGGATGACCGTATTTTTTCATGGAGTAATTACTGAAATCTTTTAGGCATTATTAATTTACAAGTCCTGTATTCATATAATATTGGAAATATATTTAGACTGRTAAAGAACAGAATTCAGGAAGTTGTTTCAGTTACTCTGCATAAATAACACACCTACCTAAATAACTGCAAAATCCACTGTCTAGTAAACGAAGCAAAGTACTCAGTTGAATTAGTTGTGTCTTCATACCCTGCATCTGTTCTTCAAAATTCTGATGCTGTACGGAATAAAACATTAACACTGTCATTTTTATTAACTCAATTTCGAGATTTGCAACTATTTTTAAAGAAGTTTTGTTATTACAACAGCAGTTCTCATCCTTTATGTATTTAACGTATGGATATTTAATTRTACTTCTACCTAATGAAATGTCTTCCTTCTACTGAGAAGTTTAACTAAAGCAATGAACTGCATTTCTTTGGTAACACTTTTGTATATAATAAATGATAGTTTAAATCAGCCTAAGCTCTGTACTTCCAAGCAGCATGACTGCACTCAAACAAACCCAACTTTTCTTTTACTCTCATATCAGTCACACTGTTTTGCAACATCCAGAAGTCATAAAAGCTTCACTCTGTGGGAAGATTAAACTGCATTTAACAAAAGCCAAAAGGCAGGTATGACATGAAACCCATTATCCTAAACAAAATCCTTCTTGAGGACTCCTGATAAATACAAATTTGTCTGTGATGGTTACTTTGGAATTTTTAAGGAGCCAAATATATCTGTTTTGTACAACCCACCATAACCTCAATCAAAAAAAAGCATATTGACKCCAAACATAAAATGATTGCTTTAAAAGAATTTTAAAAACCCAAAGTATCTGTAGCTTATCTCTTTATGTGGGTTAAAAAAGCCTTTTTTTACCATTTGATCCATGTATGATACAAAGCACCAAAAGGCATCTACTTCGTTCTCCATAACATACAAGACAGGTGACAGCAAGTCGCTCATCCCCTGCACATAACCTTGATGGAGAAAAAGGAGAGGGGGAAAAAGCAAATAGGAATTTAAACTCATCAGCTAAGCAGTAATTTTTCAACTGTGATGAATGACTGAGTGAAACAGGTATTAGCACAGACAGACACTACAATTCTCCAATTCAGCTACCAGTAAAGACAAATTTGTATTAATAGCCACCAACATCCAGCAGATCTGGTATGATTTAGCAGCCATTTCTGCCAATCTAAAGAGAACATGAAGCAAACACATTCTAGTTGTTGTTAAAATATGTACAAACTGACTCAACACAATAGATTTTTAGTAAAAACGTTCCTATTGGAACGTTTGAAACTTGGTGCATTTATTGATATTTTCAAGAAGGTTAAGTATATACCTTGCCCCATCACAATTATAAACTTGTATATAGTCTCCTTTCTATTCGGTTACTTTTTTCCAATAGTTTAAAAATTTTGAGTATCTTCCCACTCTCCCACCCACCCCCAAACAAAGATTTTCTTCTGAAATTCATTTAAAGAAATGTTGAGTTGCAATTTCAGAAAAGCACGGTGAGACAGCTCTTAAGAAGAAAATTACGCACTTTTTTTTTTTCTGGCAGTGAATATGCTTTACAGATTCCTTTATTTAAGGAAATTGAGACTGTTCTGCTTGGACAGTATTTTTTAAATACACCCAAGCCTAAGACCATCTGTGTAACCAAGCAGACAACAATGAAGAATTTGACCTATCAAAGTGAGAAAGGGAATTAATAGTAAAGTATTGCTTGCAAGAGGAACAAAAGTAACACATATCTGGATCTGATTCAAGGAAGTGCTTTCAGGTTTTGTGCCTGGAAGTGGTGAATCAATTTCACACCTCCTAAAAAGCACTCACATGCTTTATAAGAAAAGCTTTCATTTAACTGGAGAAGGAAATGCGCACTAAAGCATATCATTTTTACAAAAAGCTRTAACTTTTTAGTTGTATTAACAAAGGCTTTCAAATGTTTATAGTTTTTTAATGCTTCTTCCAGCTCTTTTGTTTGCAATTAACAACCATTCGAGAAAAGTAGAGGAAAACGATTTTACAGCTAATTTTCCCCCTTCCTCCTGACTCTTCCAATACCATTCATGCTAGTGCCAGCTTATCTACTGCCCTATCGTACCTGACCTCCCTAAATAAGAGAGCACCTGTGAAAAGAAAATATGAAGCACCTGTGAGAAGAAAAATAGAATAAGTAACAGCAAACAGGTAAATAATTAAAAGGACAAAAGAAAATAAGTTTTATTCCTCACATATTCAATACTACAGTCAACTGACAAATGCAGGTAACATTTTGTTCAAGAGAGTTTAAAAGTCTATTTAATAATAAAACCAATTTCATTAATGCAGACTTCTGGAATAAATTCAGAAAAACATTCTATTAACAGCTGTTCTGTCCCCTCCCCTATCTGGCAGTTCGTGYGCATTATTCAGACCCCTCTAAAGCTGCTGCCAAAACATTAAGAGCAACACTGCACCAGTGCTTAGAAGCCTTGGACAGTTATTATATCAATTTTACTGCAGTCCCATTATTCCTGCTTGTTTATAAAACAAAATACTTATCCCCTGTGTACATCCAAGCCATCTAAACAATGTTTTTAACAGAGTGGGTGGTGAATCTGCATTAATTTCATCCGTAATGTCACTSTGTATTAACAAAGGTTGAAATGTGGAAAGAGTTGAAACAGAGCTACATGTTTAAATCATCAGTTTTAGTTTTTTTTTCAAGCCAAGGATCAAGACTCTCTGAGAGAACAAAAGCTGACAAGAACTACAGCTCTGCAGCATRTTTACTAGCAGAGAAAGATTTATTCTTACTTTTTGTTTTCAAACTCTGGCATGAAGTGGGCTTTTAGAATCCCAAAACTTTTCTGATACAGAATACCCGAAAAAAGTCCCAAGTATACGTGGGAGCCAAATGTCATGCCAGGGGTGGAGGGGGAGCCAACTAGAAGTATCTTTTCCCTCCCTCCCAAGACAATTAACAAGAAGCCAAGACTTAGCCATCACRTTAACACTGTGATTAAAGCAAGATGTTATATGCTCTTCCCTCTGCAACAGATGCATACACTAAAGTGTAATTTTTGACAGATTGCTAAGTGCACTTCTCAAGAAGCAGCTTCTAAAATATTCACAAGAACACCATGTTTATAAACAGCTGGTTCAGCAYGCTGAGCTTTAATTACAGCAGTGGCAGCTGGCTTATCATTTTTATTGATATATCAGCYTTCAAAATATATATAACACTCAAGCTCCAAAGACCCAAACCCATTTAAACTCTGAAAAACAAGACTGCTTCAATTCTATAAAAAAATTAACACCAAAAAACCCTACACCACAAAAACTGAACGAAAACCACACAAAACCCCCGAAACAACAAAAGAACCCCACAACAGTAGGTCTGCAGTGAAGACAAGCTACCACTTAATTCCAAATCCCATCATAACTGATGGGTTCAGAGGCCTGAGATAAGCATCAAATTGAAGAGAGGAAGAGAAACTGAACAAAGTTATCTACATTGTTAAATACTATAAAATATTAAATCTTTTTTTAAGACATTTAGAAAAAGCATTGTATTCCATACAAATTAAATACTATTAACAGGACTTAGCACAAACAAAGTTGCATATCAGAAGCCAAGAAGGGAGGGACACAGCTTACATTCAGAGGGACACAACTTACCTAAGTCAAAGTCATACATGCAATAGGTCATCAAAATATCATGAAGTAAAATGAGTCCTGGATTATCTTCACCTTCATAGAATTTATTTGTTCGATCTGTCCTGTTAACATCTTTTTCTAAGAAAATAGTTCAGATTTAAAAACACTTTCAGAACCAGTACTACAAAGCCAGTAGCAAATTAATTCAGAATATTTAAGCCGATTCCTTCCTCAAACACTGTTGCAAAGTTTTCAAGTGTTTGAGAAAATTGCATAATTTAATGTCATTTCAAAATAAAGAATATTTTAAAATTAAGAAAATCCTTCCTATCTCCAATGAAAGGATTTGCTTATAAACATATTTCAAAGGTTTCTGGCTTTCCTTTGATAATACATTTTATAAAAAAATTCCTGATTATAATTCAGCAAAAATGTCTTAGGATTAAAAACAATTTTACRTGAGTTAACTCTACAATGCCATTTATGAATACTGATGTGACGCAATGCTAGCCATAGTTGGAAAGTTCCCACATGATCAGCTCAACAACACTGTCACAGGTCATAACAGCATGTTTATAAATACTGTTTCACAAGTTCCTGTAACTCATAGCAGATGAAACTGCCTCTTTCCTCAGGCAGTTTTGATGCCTGAAACAAACCAAGCACACAGCATACTCTTTAATAATGTKAAGTTCAAGACTGATGTATTTTGAGGTTTTGCTAAATTTTGAATGCAATTTGGTAAAAGGAGTACTTCATAGTTTTGGATCTATTTTACTACATAACCCAAATATGCAGTATTACATGTCCACTTACATTTCAAATACCTGAAAATTAAAATTATTGCTTCAATAGAAACAAACACCTGGCCTTTTTATAAGTCTGAATATTATTTTTTCTCTTAAGATTCTCTAAAAATGTATTTATTGATCTACCAAGACTGGACTTTGACCCTTTTAGCTTGCCTGCTGAATTTGGCAGTTGCCTGAAATAAGTTTAGCCTTTCTCTCAGAATTAACACAGAAATCTTGTCCTGTCTCCTGAAAAAATATTTAGTAATCCTAAACATTGGTGCCCAAATCTCACTACCAAAGAGAATTGAGGATACAAACCGCTAATATTCAGCATAATTTGAAATTTTTAAAAGTATAAAACCCCAGAAGTCAGAATGCACATAAATCCATTCAGAAATAATAAAATACGAACAAACATATTTTCACATTCTTATTGTACCTCGTTATTTTAAGATTTCCAGTAAAAACACATCATGATGTAACACAAAATGAAGAGCCTTTTCTTATTGAGCAAAGAAAGTTTAAAAATCCAGCTACTTTGTAACACTGATATGCAAAGCTCTGAATTACTCTAGTTAAGAAAGTTTTTATATTAAGTACATAACCCAGTTTAGACACCTATGAAAAGAGCAACATGTTCGTTTTTAGTGCCTCTCCATGCAGGTTCTTCAAAATGGTACTTTTTTAAATTTCATATTAACTTGTAAAATATGTGTGCAGTTAGGTATGTTTCTAAACCTGAATTTACCTATAAGACTTCGGTAATCTCTTAGTCTTGAATTTCGCTTTTCCTGCTCCTCACTAACAGATTTCCACTGCAGTTTCATCCTGAAATATTCATCCCTGAAGAAGAAAGATAATTTTGAAACTCAAACATACTCAATCATCTCATWTCCTTTTTTTTATTTAAACATTCATTCATTCTATTTATTCTTTGCAATAAATGGAACAACACCCTGTTTACATAATATCTTTAGTATAACAATTTTTAAGGAAGTCTCACATGTTCTTGCCTTCAATGATTGTAGCAGCTGTCTTTCAGCTTTCCAAAAAGCTTTCTACGTTACCATGTTTTAAAAAAAGATGCAGCTTTTACATTTGTTTTATAAGAAAAATATCACTGTACTCACGTTTTCCTTTTTTGAAGATTTGCTCTCTCTTCTCTAGTGCTATTCCAAGGAAAATACCCCAAAAGAAATTTCCATGCCTCCTTCCTTAAAGTATGGCAGAGACCCTAGGGAAAGATGGTTATGAAGCAACAAAAATCCCAGAAAACTGCTGGGCAAAAGCAGAAGATTTTGAAGGAGGATAAGAAAACACCTTTTTAGAGAAAAGAATAAACCTAATATCCTAGCACTGAAACATGGTCTTTTCMTGAAACTCACTTTCATTTGTTTTATCACTTAAGCTTCTGTATTTTCAATTAATTTCCCTTAGTGAGCCACAACAAGATCTCTCTCCTTGTAGAGCACTTTATAGGGCTACAAGACTGCTGAGGTATTTGACTGGCATGAAACCATGCTTTATGAAGTCTCTCAATAATGATTGTCTGGGTCATGCTCAAAGTTCTGCATGAAACATTACAAGCATAATGAAAACAGCATAACCACGGTTTGGGAAGGAAAGTAAAAGCCATAGATCTTGCTGAATTTAGAAAAACAATTTACCCCTTTGAATATCAATCGTTTTATGTAGTCAACATCTAAAATTCTTCCTTCAGAATCCATATTCTTAGCCCATTCTTCAGCTGACACAGGCTCTCTTCTACTAACTTCAGGCTGTTTCCCTAGGTCGATCTGAAACACACACAAAGGTGTTAATGAATCCTAATGAAGTGCTTCAGTAGCTGCAAACAACTGCACAAATGGTACTAAGCTTGCCAGTTTCTTCTATTCAGTACAAGTGCATTTCCACATAACATACCTCAGTTAACAGCTCTAAGAATGTAAGGTTGTACTCACATGAGCATGGTAGTGTGGGCCAACACAAGCAAATCTTTAGAGTACGACACTTGGTGTTGAGGACCTGTCTATACATATTAATATTTCAGATTTTGGAGGATGTATGTGTGTTTCAAATAACCTTCTAACTCCACAAACACCTCTGAGCTAGCTTCCATAAACTAATGCGACACAGCAACCAAGGATAATTGAGAGCTTCACTTCAAAAACACATTCCTGATACACATTACTGCATGTGAGAGAGAACTGAAAACCAAGTCAGGTTCGGAGATGCTATCACTACACAGACGGACCAATGTGACTGGAAAGATCAATTTTTGGTATGCAGCCCTGAAAAAAAACCCAAGCATGTATGTACTTTCAGAATTTATAACACCCATCCAAAGTTTCAGTTTGTTGCTTTGTCTCTCCATTTCCAAACTGCATATCCAAGTACAGTAGAATTGAGCAGACACTAAATCSTTGCTTCCTAAAAACATTTTTATGATGGCAACCCTGAAATCAATTTGGGTTTCAACTCTTTACAAGTCCAAGGCATTTGTCAGATTAAGACATATAGGTCAAGATTATTTTCCATGTGAAGCATTTGTTATACTTTGTAATTGATAAATTAACTGGGTAAGTGCTAGGTAGCAACTTCTTAGAATAGTTCATACAGCTACTGCTAAAATATTAACACTACCTTGAACTCAAAAAAAACCCCATATAAAATAGTTTAATGTTTTAAAAATATGTAAGCTGCTTAAATAATGATCACAAGCATTTAAAAAAAAAACCTTTTCCACCTATCTATAAAAGACTCCAACAGGAGTCCACAGTGATTCAAAATCCAATTACAAGTTCATTCTAGCTTTGGTTGAAATCATATATGAATCTGTGATCTGTATTCCTAGACAATTTTGTTTTAATCTTAAAAGAAACTGAAATGTTAGGAGTGGTTAGCCATGAAAGTCTGTTATTAACCTGCATTCTCCAATTTTACTTAATGTAGCTCTAATTGACCTCAGAGGAAACACTAAACATAAAATTGGTTACTTTTTAAGGTAGTGCCTCTAATATAACTACAGCCCCCATTTCACTAATTACAAACTTCCTTTCAAAGGAAAACTCGCATTTGCATGCATAAAAATGACATATTCAAAAGTAACTGATTATGATCTTATCTCTTAAAAATAAATGGTAATATGCCACAATTGCATGAACAATATAACTCACTATGCTTCAAGTCATACCATTCCTTTAAAGGAGTGCATAAAAATAATTAATGTGTCTGTATCATTAATTGATATACTTACTCGTGTAATGACTTCAAATCCTGGCTCTTCTTGCTGATTTATCTTCAGCCCTGGAATAGTATCATTAAGAAAGTCTGCCATTTCTGATGGTGGTCGCCTTTGATTTGATGGATCACTTGAACGGAAACTATCAAAAATATAGTTTGTAACTTTGGAAAATCTTCCCATTGTCACTACGTATGGATCTTTCTTCCATTTCTGTGTTATAACAAGGAAAACACAAAAATCTGTGTTTATATTTGTAATTCTTGTATTCAAAGTAAAGCATGAGGAAAAGTATGGTAGGTCTCAAAGCTACTTAAGTTTCATGTATTGGCAGCAATAAYAGAACAGACATCACGATTAAACAACTTAAGTATGAAGACAATACTGCTAATAGATTTGACAGGTTGTATACCAGTGTTCTCAGTAAGCCTGACCTACGTATACAAGTGGACCAGATCCAGTGTTTACTATCCAGTGATTCATGGCACAAAACATCACCCTTATGCCCAGCTTCCCTACCCTCACAGAGAAAACAGTTTGAACCATCAGGTACTCTGCTAGGAATTTCAAACAAAACTCCATTTGACAACTAAATCCAGAAATTAATGTAATTAATTCAAGAAGATTTTCTTTAATTAAGTAGATCAGTGGGTCAAAACTCTGGCCTCACTGAAGTCACTCAAGTTTTGCTGCTGACTTTCACAAGTTCGTAAGCTCTATCAAATAAGCAGATAAGCAAGTGTAGTATTAAAAAACCTCATCTTTTTGGACAATGTTGTCCCCTTTGCTGCTGTATTTYCATCCTCCCTTCAAAATTGTGAGAAAATGTCAATAAAAAGAATGTTTAGTCACAAAAGACTTAGAAAACTATAATTAACAAGTTTCARTAACTCCTAAAACTTTTCCTCTTTTTAAGGCTTTCTGTATCCAAATGTATAGAATCCCAGAGACCATGAACTTGAGTATGTTTGAAATAACACCCTGGGAAGTTAAGAAATCATATATCACAAAATCATATACCATAGAAAACAACTTACAGTTAAGTGTACTTTTTATAGTACGCATTTTTTGGGGGATACAGCCAATGCTCCTACAATGGCATTAAATAATTTTTCAGCAAATAGTCCTATGACATGGTAGGGTGGGKTTTTTTTTTAACAAGTCTTCAGAACAAAAATTGATAATACTTACTTGTAATAAGCCATATGATGGTTCATCGAAGAGATTTTCAAAAGACTGAGACAGTGACTTCTGAGTCTTCACAAGAAGAACCCGTTCATCATGTGGAGATCTGCAATAAAATTTAAAAAGGGTGTCTGGGTTCCACTATTTCTTTTCTGTAAAGTTTTCAGAACATTCACAGGCTTTTTAAAGTCACATTTCAGCTTTGTAAAAAAAAAAGATTTGATGCAAGATCATTCTTACTCCTTGGCACAAACTAACAAACCAATGCTAAACAAAACAGGACTTTCATTTTTCAAAAGATTAGTAATTTCTATACAATTCTGAATTTGAGTCTTCCACTCCTTGAAAAATGAAGCATCAGAAAATTTTTTGAGAAATTACTCCAGAAGATAACTCCATTTACATGTGGGTGACAAAATTACCTTCAAGTACAGTTTTCTGGTTTTGACAATGGACAAAATAAAAATGTGACACAGGAAACATAGTGAGACACAGTCAGCTCAAACAATACATGCTGAAACTCCTTTAACATAACAGAGGAATTGAAAAGAGCCTATGTCACCCATACAGTTAAGGAATTCTTTATATCCATTAGTAAATCTTACATTATGTCACATTGTAAAAYATTACTTTAAGGAATCCAAACTGCTTTTCAATGGATGAAAGCACGTCAACAAAYTTCTAACCAGTGATCGTACAACAGATCCTGTCAGAATAATTCTAAGATTCATACTGATAGGGGCTTAAAAGACACCACAGCCATTGTAATGTGAAGCAGAACCATAGCAGTACAGCCCTGCAAATGTGTAGACTCCAAAAGCTAAATGAACACAAACCTGATTTGGCCTAACTCACTAAATTTGTACACTCCTGTCCAAAACAACATTCACTACTCAACAGGTAGTGGAGTAGTAGGCAGATGAAAACAGTAAMAACAAAGGAAGTGAAACCACAATGCTCTTAGCAGTTAYGTGTTTTCCTCTCACACCTACTCCCCCTGCCACATGCCATTTTGCCCCCTTCTTTAGCACAGGCACCCCATTACTTCCTTAAGCAGCTGCTGAATCACCAATGTACTGCTCAACAGGATAACAGAAGAGAGAACAGCTCAGAAAGCAGGCTGACATTGAAGCCTCGGAGTTTGTATCCAGGCAGGAGAAAGCCAAGCACTTTGCCATCTGACCCTAATCCATTACACAGACTTACATTTATAAAATACCTCTCTATTGCTCTCTCACAAAGTTTAAGTCCACTGTTCCTAGTCTTTGAAAGAAAAATTACTTTTCCTTTTATTAGCACCTGCATCATCTACCATGTTATTAAAGTCAAAGATAAGAACTTTAATAAGCCTTATCTCTTTCCCATTCCAACARGACAGGACACTGTTAACACTGACGGATATGAAATGCAACAAGAGATCTCATTTTGAGACAGCCAGACATCACAGTCATAGTTCTGAGGCAGCAACAGTTATTGAAGCTCAACTGGCTTTTTCTAAAAAGCAGGACAGGGGCAAAGGCTGAGTCATGTTAAGTTTTCCTTAACTAAAAGAATGAAAACTGTGTACCGTAWCTCCCTTTTAATTAAACACACTGTCTGGACAGTCAGGTGGGCATCAACACCTTCTTAGGTATTGCTCAAAAATTTGTGAGCTTGACAATTTCTTAAACTTACTCATAGTCCTGCCACTTAAGAAGTGTCATATGTGCACACAGTATTTTCTCAATATTAGACTGGTCCAACCAAACTAGAAGGCCCATAATCCTGAGGGCAAAAAATCACAACTATTTTGTGMAAGTTTACCTTCTCCACGCTGATTTCAGCAATGACGTGATATTTTATAAAGAATGGTGTTAGAGAAGGGCAAAATCTTTTGAGGTAATAGAAACATAAGAAAATACCTATGACATAATGATAATTTACAGATAAGCTAAAATTTGTTGCTTAATATCAATAATCCATGTGTTACAAAATAGAAGTTGGGATAAGAAGTAATTACATTGCCAAGTATTTGCTTGTGGCATCCAGACAGCTGAGTAAACATCTTTTCCTAAATGAGGTTGTGAGCTTAGATACATTAGGTACTAAAGAATGAACAACTATTAGGAAACAATAGAAACATAGATTGACTCTGTCATTTCTGTAATTTGGATGGCCTATTTGTCCTTTTATCTTTCCTTMGAAAAAATAATCATCATAATTCATGACTAGATGACAGAAGATAAAATGGTGACAAGAGCAGACCCTAACTGAATTAGAAAACTAAAGTAGGAAGTTCCTGCTCAGGTCAATGCTTAAGGTCATCCAAATTTAATTTCCATAGCTGCCATCGATTTTGCTTTACAGTTCCTGAAGTACCTGCTCTTGCATTCATTAATGCTTACACCTGTTCAAAGTGGCAATACCAGGGAGCACAGCACATCCTGCAAGCCCGAGCATCACCTCAAGTTTTGATGTCTTATCCTAGCAATTAGAAAATTAGAAATATGTTGCTGCAGTACACAGGCAACAGATCACACAGATCTGGTATAAAGCTTTCTGTGACTCACCACACAACACAAGTGTTTTTCCAGTGATTGCTATATCAGTTGCCCTCAAAACTGTCCCTAGCTTACCAGCAGCTAGTCAGAAGATATCCACAAATAAGTAAACACAGCAGTTTGCTCAAAAAGGAATAGTTTCCTTCAGAAAATGGGAGGGAGGGAGGAAGGGGGATGGCAGGACAACAGTGTTTCCCTGTGCCTGCAGAAGCTGTGAAATTAATAGTGAAATAAATGAAAGGAGGTTTAAGAAAGGACTCTGAAGGAACCTAGAGGAAAAAAAACCCTCAGGATTTAAGATGTTGTCATTCAGAATTTTCTAACCTATGGCTGCACAGATAATGTTCTTATTTACAAGTTCATCTTGTCCCCTCCTTAACAGTTTCTCCWTTAGTCTTCCTGACTTTTCCCATTAATAAGCTCACATACAATACTACATCCAATATCATTCCACCAATTSGCCACACTGACCATGCTACCACCTCCCAAGCAGCTGAAAACTTCTGATTATCACAAACTCCAACACCATGTCTGGGAACTGTCAAAGCGTTTTATGAATCACTTCAATAAATATACACCACTCATGTCCTATTGGTTTCTACTCCAGCCAAGTATYCCTCAGTATTACTCAGCATCAGCCAGCTTTACTTGTTGAGAGAAGAGCTCTCTGTCAGGATTCCCACTGTCATTTCACTATCCACCTTCAAATCTGTCATCAGACTGTTATGTTGCAAGTCACAACAGCAAAACACTTTTGAAAATGGAATACATGTTACATTGATATTATACCTGTTATAGGTATAGGTGTCACATCTTACTCATTTCTCCATATTCCATCTAACCTTACTTACCTGTTGCCTTCTTAAATTATACTTATGCCTACATGATGAGAGCAGAAAATGTAATTTTATTCTGCACTTATGCTATGCTAATCAAAAAGGCTTTAATCCTAATAAAAAACTTGGAGCTAATACAATACAAATTCACAACAACCCTGAAGTATTTAACACCATGATAGGGTCTTGACTATATTTACACTCAGAGAATGGTTCTGTGCAGCAAAGATCAAGTGTGAAACACTGACCACACAAGAAATTACAGGGGAATGGAATTGTGGTCGAAAACATTTACAGACCAACTGATTTAGTTGACAGTACTGTAAGTTACCTTGCACACTCATGTGAATATTCACAGGTATTTCACACAAAGAAGATCTCAAATTTTAACACGAATTAGCCCATTTTATAGAAKTGGTTCATGAAGGATTTAACTTTTACACTGAATGTTCCTAAGAAGCTTCTGCACTCACTAGAGGGAGCAACCCAGGCACTCAGACCAAGTAACACTTCAGATTCTGAAATACTTCATACATCAGTCCAACAACTTTAAAACTTCAGCTTTCATTCCAAATGCATATGTGAAATCAGTTTCAGTCACCTTGAAAATTGGCTCCACTAACAAAAAAAAGGAAGAGAAAAGCAATCGGGAAGTATTAATCTGAAATTGATTACATGAATTAAGTAAACCAATAATCTGTATTTTACAGAGCTAAGTATTGTCTCATACTTACTCATTCAGCACAAYGTGCTTTTCAAGGCATTTAATCAAYARTTTGCTATCTCCATGATGAAAGTGAAGAGCTGGGAGCTTCACATCATCCTTCAGACAGAACACCAAATAAGACCATCCCATGCCTTCTTTGTTTTGTTTGATTGATTTCAGATCTGTCAAACTGAACAGGAATGACCACTTGCTCTCTCCATTTGCATGACTCGTAGCATCTTAAAAACAAAATTACCACGATTTCAGTTTGATTTTCAGTGTTARCAATTAAAAATGCATTGTATCTGTCACTGTTCCTAAAAGAAACAAACTCAAAACATAAACATTAGCATTGGTTTTAACAATAAAACGCGCACTGTAACTGCTATTTCTGTATTTTTATATGTTTGAGCCTCCTTGTCTTCTACAGACTTGTAGAACAATAAACAAGTCCATCAGATTGCTCCCCTAAAGCTCTAGCTACRGTTTCCAGGAAAAGATTTTTCACCCACATGAGGCTCGAGCACTGAAATAGGCTCCCCAGGGAAGTGGTCATGGCATTAAGCCTAACACGAGTTCAAGAAGCGTTTGGACAACACTGTCAGGTATATGGTGTCCTGTGCAGGGCTGGGATTTGACTCTGATGAACCCTGTGGGTCACTTGCAACTCAAGATACTCTATGGTCCTACAACAGAAGTGATCTAGCAGTTAAATGTACAGCTGCTGTATCAAACTCCAGCAGCAAGCTAAATCCAACCTGCATCTCCTCCAGGTAGTGCTACTTACTCAAACTAAATGTGATATGCACTACAATCCTGTAACCTACATATTGTCCACAGTCATGTGGGCACACTTAAAATATTGTGTACGGCTGCTACCAACGCAAGGGCAAAGGAATTGGAAATTTCCCCCTCACCCATCCCTTACTGTGCTAGCTTGTATACATTCTGTGCAAGATTGTATATATTCAAGGAGAAGGGTTTAAAGYTAACTTTACTAGAGGACACAAAATTGCCAGTGTATCTAGAAGAAATCTGGGACCCCTGCCAGCCTGGTTCCATCAAATTACAKCAATTGAAAATAAGCAAGAAGTGGCAAAGAGCGTAATCCAAGTCAGTAGTGCTCTGTGACACTCACTGTGGAGCACTGAAGATGAATGGAGATGAAAAATCAATACAAACTAGGGATGTGATAAACTATCTGTACCCAACAGAGATGCTGTGAGTGTGTGTGGGTGTGTGTGTATAAAAACCAAGGACCATGCTTTACCCAAAAACAAAATGACATCCAAACCCTGCACTCATACATGACAGAGAAGACATTTAAGATGGTAAAACAAGCACAACAGTCCCCAGTTACAGGCTGTGAAATAATACATAGAAAACAAGTATTATTAAAAAAAACATTATGGGAGAATCAGAGGAAAAAGATTACTTGAGAATCACTGCTCTTTCTCCACAACTCGTTTTTCAACATTTTTCCTGAGACTGTAAAACAAAAATTGTGTAGCTACAGAATTATGTTCCCAAAGTAAAAAAGACAGTATAAAAGACTCACRTACCTCATAACTGCATATGCCATCTCCCCCTGCTGCTGTAGTATGGAAAGGCATGAGTAGTAAACCACTTATTTTTCCATTTTCATTTCTAACATGACACCTAGTTCAAATTCCATTTATTTCAAAGAATGCAAGCCCAATGCAAATAAAACTGCTACTACATCTAATGATTAAGCAAAAAGTTAGATGTAATATTCATTTTCAATACAATTTAAAGAAAAAAAATAGAGGCAGATGACAGTTATTTCATTCGTGAATTTTTTTCCACACCCAGAGATTCACCTCTTACAACAAGTGAATCCCAGCCTTTCAAGTCTTAATAAAATCCATTTTACTGTACCTAAAAGGCAATTCTTCAGTTACAAGTTGCCATCATGGAAGAAAACCAAAACACTCTACAAGCAAAAAAGCCCTCAATATTTATGTTTTAAGTACCTCCGTTTGAATGAGGTTTCTTCTTGAAAGAGACTGTGGTGACCATGTCCCATTCTGCTTCATAACTACTTGGACGGTCTGCTCCTCTGGAACATTTTTCTTTAGGAGTTTGAGTCCACTCCACAACAGAACTGGAATCCTGAGAAAAACAACAAAAGCAACTATCAAAAAACACAAGGCATGAAAATTGGCCTAGTTTTTTAGATTTAACATAAACAATCAGCATCTTTATTTTGTAGATTAAAAGAAAATGTATTGAAATTCTCAGAAACACGATGCAGTTCAACACAGGAAATTCTGACTTTTGATTAAGTGGATTTACTTAATAAAGTCCAACATACTAAAATATTCTTGCCTCTCTTGGAGACTCCATGAATATAAAAAACTTTTAATTTAAAGGTAAAACTTCCATTTTGTTTTTATTTAGTCACACCCTCTTAATACTGCTTAAATACCACATATCACTGCATTTTGGAACCCCCATAGACTTCTATTTTTATTTTGCATTAGAACAGCACTTCTGACTTTTGTGTCTAACTATGAAGAGTGAGTCACCAAACTACAAGACAGCAGATGCAGAGGGACTGGTGACTGTGATATACGTACACTCATTTGGTCTTTATTATTCATAGCTACTGCCCTACTATTTTAGTTGGGAACCAAGAGAAAACTAAATACAGTCAACCTACACATGTATCCCAATAACCTGAATGGGGCTGCAGTCTGCAAATAAGATTCCTATACRTAGCTATTAATATCAATGATAAGTAAGTTTTGCTTCCCATTATAAGATCACTCATACATTAGTTAACACAAAATAAAATCTCCGGAGAAACAGAATGAAGAACACTTGATAACTAAAAAACAAACCTTTCCAGCACAGAGGATATTAGAAGTATCCAAACTCTCATCCAATGGCCTCCAGTCTACCACTACTTCATTTTCCTACAATACAAACAATCACAAAAAATTCAACACTACACAACAAAATACCCACTGCCATATATAGTCACGGTGTGATTATGGTACGACTTTTATATACATACAAATGATATGTACAATGTCAAACACAATGTGATATTTGGTCCTTACAGAATCCTATACTTGAAAAGGTATTTAAGATTTGCCAAACTTATGTGCTTTGCTGACAAWTATACAAAGTCCATAACTGTACTATGCAAATACCTTTTCTATGACACGCAGTATTCCTGCAATTAAGCTGTCCTGGTCATCATTTTTTCCACAGGAGGAGTGAATGAAAACTCCTTCTTGCTCATATAAAACCTATAAAAAAAATGAGCAATGATTAGAAAAAGCATAGTTTTAAAATCATTAGAATTATTTTTCTCCCTATGGTACTCATCATGTTGACTCGCCTACAGAAATTGAAATAAACACTTCTGTCTTGTTAGGGATTTTGTTACAAAGAGCCCAAGATGTGAATCTTTCCGTTACTTAAATTAAGAAACAACAGAAAATAGAACTTGTCAAACTTTTAAGCAACTTGTCTAACTTGTCTACCCTCTAAGCAACATACTGACTACTACTACTTTGTAAGAACACCACAAGAAAATGCATTCAATACCTAGTATTTTTTAACAGGCACAGGTTCAATGGAAGTACTATACAGCTATTAAAACATTAAAAGGCTTTCTTATATAGTCTACCTTTCTGCCACCTGCCATTAAGCATGGAATTATAAAACTGAATTATAACTGATTTAATAAATAATAAAATTGAATTTTAGTTATAATTTCAATTGCATTGAAATGATAAAATTAATTTAAATTTTTAATGGACCAAATAATGTAAAAAGGTGAACTCCAGAGAAATAAAAAATTGCACCCTGAAATTAAATACCTAATCCTACAGTCAGGGCCAGTGGCAAAGATTCCATCTGAAAGGTAAGGTATGTAACAGTTGGAGAAGAAAGGCTTGTAGGAGTGTGGATGGCCCACATAACTTCTGCATTTAAGCATTTGCAAAACTCTTCACAGTATTCTGATYATGCTCTTAAAAAATAAAAAAAACAACCAGAACTCCTGACTGTCAAAATTCAGCAGGCTTTTCAAAGCTACATACACATACACGCACCCTTAAAAGCTCTATAAATACTGTAAATGGGTTCTATCTTACACAGTTCTAAGACTGAAAACTCCCTTAGATTTTGTGGAAGTGAAATAAATCAAATAGTAACAGTAATTCTTTCAGAACCATTTTCACTTCCACACCAAGCTGTGAACACTGCCTTAAGAAACACATTTTTAAAGGCAAAGGCTAGCAATTCTTAWCTAATCAGAGACAGATATTGTATTTCTTTACTTGAAAATATCACTGTCTCTTTTTCTCAATTGTCAGCTATTTAAAATCATTATATTTGCAGCCAGGCCAGTAAATTAAAAGGTTAGGTGAGAAGCTTAACTAGATGAGAAAACACGGCTTAAAAAGAGTGACAAAATTCACATAACTCATCCTTGCTGTTTTAGTTTTACATCAATTTATCTTCCTTTTGCATAAGCAAGAAATTTCAGAAGTGTCCTGTTTAAACACAGAAATATCACTTAGAAGAAATCTCTAAAGGTCACTTACTATATCTCCCTCTTGAAGGATTATTGACATCATTACCTTTTAAATACTGGAAGTCTTCTTTTCTCTATTACAGCTGTTTCCTCTTTTCTATCAAAAAAAGATCCTCCCTCTATTTCTACCAACTATCTGTTTTCAAATTCAGTCTCTGTTCAAACAAGGCAACATTGAAATTTATTTAAATTTTACTTTCCATCTATTTGGACCTGATCTATCACAAAAACTAGTCAGAAATATGAACCAGTAATCAACCACTGGGACAACTGCTCCAGAAAAAAAAGATATCTATTTGTATCAGTTACACTGGTTGAAGTGCACTTCTGCCAATAATGTTAGTAAGTATCATAAAGTATATATCATCTCAGTCTAGAAGGTATGCAAGCTAATAACTGTTTCTATCATTTTCTTCCTGTTAATCTCTCAGAAGGAGAAATGTTTCCTTTCATGGGAAAAGAAAATRTGTTCCCAATGCCACAGTTGTCATGCAACTGAAAAATCCTACACTGCTCTTTATAACAGCTTCAGTTACCTGCACCGTTCTCCACCAAAGTGGGTGATAAACCCAAAGAACATGCTCAGAACATCAGAGGGTGTTTATGTAACAGAGTACTTGTCACATAGCACCTTATTCCCCTCATTCTATTACTCAAGAGAAAATCTCCAAATTTGAAAGGCCAGGCCAAGCTCCTGGGATTTTTCTTTTCCAATAACAAGGGCAATCTGTTTATTTTTSCACCTGTTAACTGGTGTCTAGAAAATGGAATAATGTAACTAATTTGCAGAAAGAGATAACATCGATCATACAAAAGAATACGAGATGTTTTTCACAAAACATTTTGGAAGTTACAATCTTGAATTCTACAAAATATTGAGCCTCTCTGTAGAGCAGTACTTTGTAAGATAACTCCGTAACTGCATTTGAACAAACTGAGTTAGAAAACATAATCCTATAGTGGTAGCACCTGAAAATGAGCTCTACTGGCTGGCTAATTCACACAGTGTTCTTAGCAAGCTGAAAAATTAAAATGCTATAAAGTATTCTTATAGCACCTTGCAATGAAATGTAGCTTGCTACAGGTTTTTATTTTTTGGTTACAGCAACACTGGCAAACTATTCAAAGTGAATTCAAAGACAAAAAGTAATGTTAAATTACTTGTAAAAGTGATCAGTACTAAGGAAAGAATCAAATTGAAAGACAGACCAAAATTTAGATTTGACTTAAACTCCATCCATTGGCAGACAATTGCTACTACACTGTATAGCTCAATCTCACACACTATGTGGCCTATAGAGATTTTTGCTCAGTGCCTCTGTAGCCCAGCACTCAGGGAAATRCCTGATCAGTCAGCACACCTGGACCTTTTACACAGTCAAGAAAACAGATTTCAAAACTAAGCAACAGCATCATATACTGCCTCTTGCCCAAGCAGTAGGTTACTGCAGAACATGCAGAAAAGGCAGCAAACATTGAAGGGTGACCAGAAGCATCATTAAAATACCAAGGATTTGAGTAAGGTCTGCATGCAAAATCTATATAGTGATATCCTGGTACGTATGGAGACAGTAGAAGGAACTAGATATGGGCAGGCGAGATAATGAGACTGGTGCCCCCTTATTAGCAGYTGAAGTAACTATAATCCATCCAAACCCAACCCAAATCTGCCTCTGTATTATCTGTCAATACCCTTGGCATAGGAAAGCAAACCAATCTCCTTTAAATCTTGATAACCTTTTGCCTTTAGTGAACTAGGAAGGCCTCATTACCCACTGTGTGAAAGAATTCAAGAGTTTTAAAGAATGCCATCTACTCAATTAGTCCTTTATGTTTTTTTGTATTTCAAGACACAAAAACATAGTACTGGTATACCTTGTGTTTACACTATTTATTATTTTACATATTCACCATGGGCTCTTTTCCAAACATAAGGAGTAGGTAGAGTCAAGCTCAATCTTTCATTTTCTTTTCATATGATTCGAGCCATCATTCTTCCACTAAACCTATACAAAATCAATAAGCCCATGATGAAAAAAGACAAGTTAATGTTAGTAAGTGCACACCCCAGGTGGCTAAGTAAGTTGACATGAYCCTAAGATTTTAATAAAAACCCAAAAGTATCCCTCACCCCAATATTACAATCCTTCCCACCCRTCCAGCTAATAAGAATTCTTTCTGTGCTCTACACAGTCTATCCACTGGTCCCTGAAACAGAACCTCAAGGAAAAAAAGGCATGTATATTGCTTAGATGCTCAAAGCCAAAACAGCTGTTCAGAAGTGACAAGCCTCACTAAAGAAAAGAACAGGTTTTTCTGTTTTCTTCTATACCTGTATGCAAAGATCTATAGAAATGCCCACAGAGATGCGTATTTCACAGGTTTAGATGTTATTGCCTACATGAAAGCCAGACTGCTGGCTCCACAACAAAAACACAAATGAAAAAAGAAGTGTTTATCAAAAGCACACACCAATGTAACCAAAGCAAATGAAGATGTAGTGTGACAGGACCTGAACAACTTTGAAAATTACTTAATTTCAAATAAATTTTAATTGTATCTTGTGGTTGTACATTGGAATTACTGAAAAGATTTTCAGACATTTTACTAGCTTAAAGCTAGTTCTGTGCAGAACAGATTTATTCATTCATGGGATCCTTAAGTTCCTAGAATACTTCAAATCATAAGCATTTCTTAAGGCAACTTAAGACTGCAAAAGCRTTTCGTTGGCGATATTTTTTCTCTAAGAAAATAATGGAGACAGTAGGAAAAAAGTTTGTATGATTTAAGTATTACTCTTTAATAATCCTAAAGTTTCAAGGTTGATATAAGATGTACCTGAGAAGCTTATGTTCATCTTTCCTGCTTGTTAAGAAGTCCATGCAGGCAGCCTGCAGCACAGTTCACACAGTATTTATTTTTCCAGTTCTACTGAGTGAAAACTAGACCCATTGACTGTGTGCTTCAGAATCCACCAAAAACTAAAAATTGATGCAAGCTTCCAAACACTGGTGAGCCACCTTGACCTGTTTCTTTTTTTTTTTTTTCTGTGGGTGCTACAGGGATCAAAGGCAAATTCACAATTCATTCTGATCAGTCATTGAAAGCACTGTACCATTTACAGAGACAACACCTATTCCAACTCATATACTGACTGACTGAGGGTCTATAAAAACAGGAAACCACAGCAGAAAATTCAGGAAAGCTGGACAAAGCAATAGTTATCTACCCACTTACTATAAAAAAAACAGACAGAAGCAGCAGGATGTAGGCTCAGTTTACATGTCATGGCATATGCTAGTTAAGGTTCTGAAAAACTGTTTAAGTATTTATAATCCATGTCCAGAAAAAAAYAGCTTTCTGAAGTCCCACTCTTGTCCCAGTAACATTTTCTGGGAAATAAATTGTAATAATACCATAAGCACACAGCACTGACAATGCGTATCTCCATATTTCCACTGCAATCCGTACAGTGAGCACCCATCAGGCAATGCCTGTAGCTGTTTATTGCCAAAGACATACAGGACCAGAAGGCCTCTGGCATGCCACACCAACCATTAGAATATATGCCAGAATACAAGCAAAGTCTTGTGATTTAATGATTGCCATTYGATAGCAATTTAGAGCCCTGTGCTACCAGCTAGTGAAGGATGACAACATTGCACCCTAAAACAATGAAGTATAGACAATAAATAAAAGAAGAGC